CCACAGAAGTGACGTGCATATTCTTGCTGCTAAAAAAATCTGGAAACAAAATGATCCCTCGGAAGCATTAATCACAACAAAAGAGAACTGCAGACTCGGTTTGATTGAGTCTGTACACAAGGGATAATTGAAACGTGCAACATCCCTCACGCCCCCTAGCACCGGCTTGAGCAGTACCTTAATTAAACTTTTTATTTTTATCTCGTTCCGTCGAGACATTCGTTGGAATGAGATAAAAAAGATTTCAGTTACATTACGTTTTGCATTTCAACAAAAGAAAGCATAGCGCTATCAAAAAGGAACCGTGTTATACGTTAGCTATGTCGAGGTTAACGACTTACTTACTCATGTGAACGAGCAATCTATCTGTCGTGGGAATGAGACATTAAGTCCTTCCGCGACAAAGCTAACAACCTTTGTAAGAACTTATCTGAGGGATCGTACTAAAGTACCATTTGTACAAGTCACAGCTTTCTCAGTCATGAGTTAATTTGCAGAATTTGTCATGGATTTCAAATTAAAAAAAATATCATTGGGCAAATTATTTCCAGCCAAAGCGACTTTATTTTTTCATTTAAACCCACGTTTTACAGATTTTCAGGCATTTAGCGGTCACTGCAAATCAGAGATATTACCCGAATTTGTTTTCAAAGTTTACATAAGCTTTTATTCAGACAGACCAGATGTATTACGAGGTATTTCGAAATGCAATAGCAAAGTCATAAAATATGTCTTGTTTATTTTTCTTTTTCTATACACAACTACTTTTTCTTTGGGGTCCTCCTGGGCTCCTTGCCGCTGGCGCTTGTTGCTGGGTCGGGTGGGGGCTGCGTTCATTGAATGCCGCCTTTCCTTGTCGATCTTGTTTATCATATTTTATCATATGTTACTTTTATTCTTAAAAGATGATTGTGGACAGGTGCCAGAAGTTCTAAATGGTAATACTACTCTCACATTTGATGAATATACACAATTAGATGTAGCTTTTGTTGTATGTGACAATGGATATCACATATATAATACGTCGTTAAAGGTTGCTATAATCTTCTGTAGAGTGCCAGGTTCATGGGATATACGTACCTGCAGTATCTCAGGTTGGTATCTTTTTAAGACATTTATTTCTATCAAGTAATACATATTTTACATTTACATCATCATTGGCGTAGGTAAACCTTTTTAGCTCGACCATTTATTGGAAAATGTTCTTTCCTTCTCACCTGGATTTTTGGGTCGACGTGAGCCAAAAATATATAACATATTCGCTGTTAACATTAAATACATCTTCAATGTCAAATATTTAATGCATTTCTAAACGCCAGTTTACCTTCAAAAGAAATTCTATAAATCTATGTTATATTTATGTTTATCAAAAAAGCATTTTTGAAGTTTTCACTTCCAACATGAATTACATCGTTATACATAGTCCACCAGTTTAACAGAATTATGCAACCTTGTCTAATTTGCTTTAACACTTTTATCGAGCTCTAAGAACACTGGAGCGTGCTGCTCATCTGACTGATTTTCTTCATATTGTGATAAATCTAAGAATTTTGTTTTATTTCTGAAATCGTTTAGACTGCAGCTTTCCACCTCATAGTCCGTATGGAGAGTACATACTTGACGAGGAAGGAGTAACGACATATGGAGCAAACGCTACATTAACTTGTATAGAAGGTTTTGAAAGCAGTAATCCTGTGATAACATGTCAGGAACTTGATACATGGTCAATACGTATACGTGACTACTGCAAAATAAAAGGTATTCACAATAATTGTAGCAAGTATGTTTATACAGCATTTTTCTATGTTTACCCTAGTAAGGTTGTCCCTCATTGTGGTATTTTGTAACTGCAAAATTCATGTACATGTGTGTTGTTTTTAATGACGGGAAAAGGACACTTTATTTCATATATCTAAAATAATGCAGTGGTGTATACAGTTATAAGTCAGTTGCACGTAATTAAAACAATTATTGTTTGAATTGTAAAAAATGATATTTCCAAAAGTGTTTGTGTTGAAGAAATATGCTTGCATAATTTCTCAAGTGCGAATGCTGCATCACAACATCATTGATAAACAATGATATCATTTGATTCTGTTTACATACAATATTATTTAGTGATAAAAAACATATAATTTCTACTAATATTAGTTTCTACCTTTCTGAGAATTTATATCAAGTTGTCTTAAAATATAGCTCTATACTCTATATGTTCGCATAAATAAAGAAAATGTGTGTATCCCAGTAATTCTTAAGAAAATCCTCGACAAACGACATGAATTCATATTTAAACGTACAATAAAACCAGATTGCAATACAGTACCGGTTATAGAACGTGGGACAATTTTACCGATCGACAGTGACAACACAAACTATGGTGCCGTTGCAAACGTGACATGTGACTATGGATACAATTCCAGTAAAGAATATATCCAGTGTCTTAGTAACGGAACTTGGGAAAGTGTTACTTGTGAAATAATAGGTAAGAAAAATTGTGCTTAGTACAATCTGTATGTTGGTCGGATATAAAATTGCTTATTGTCATTGTCTTTTATATTTTTTGTCATGATCTCATCATGATATCGCACTTATCATGCGTAGATAAACGTTGATAATTTCTTAAATATTTCAAATACATTTCTTGCATATCATACCGTTTACACCGGTGCTTGAAAACTCTATCTAACAGCCCATGTAAGACAAGTCGCGTGCTTTAAATGATGTCATTGCCGCGCGACTTTTATGAATGAATTACGTTCTCAGTATGACGTCAATTTTCCTTTATGAATGAAGTTATAAGTTCATGCATAACTACAAGAAAAGAATTGCGTACTGTTTCAAAATGTATGATCCGAAAATAATTGACATGTAATATGCACGATAAAAAAAATCAAACGCCGGCTGTTGGTACAGACGGGAATATCTAACTCGCGGGTAATTGTTCAGTGGAAACTCGGTAGAGCCTCGTTACCGCCGTAAACAGTTACCCTCGAGTAAGATATTTCGGTCTGTACCGGCAGCCATTGTAAGATTCTTAAAATCTATTCTGACTAAAACATGCATTTTGTTGCTTTCTGAGGAAACATTTAAATACTTGTCTGTATTGTATGACAACAAAAATAGTTGTCTGTATTGTATAACCAAAAAAAAAGAAGAATTCTTTGTGCTTGTAACAAAATTGGTGGGTGTTATATTTGCAAATTGTGAAGATGTGCCGTTTATAAATAATGGAAACATATTTTTGCAAGAAGGGACATAGCTCATATGGCGCCTTAGCCAAAGAAACATGTAACACAGGCTATAACACAACGCTAGATACTATACACTGTCTTGATACGGAAGAATGGGGAAACGCGACTTGTACTGTTGTTGGTTTGTGATACTACCTAATTATTTGTTATATGCAACAGTTGATATTTCCTTTTGTATCACCATTGTTATATCTTGTTGTGGTACAAGAGAACGTACCATCATGTCAACAACAGCAAGTCTAATTAAATTCGTTAAAAGATAAATTAAATGATATATAGTATTACCTATTAACGATAAGTTTTTGTAAAATGCAAAAAAAAAAAATGTTGTTGTTTAAATAAAAAGAAACAAAAAGGAAAAACAAGAAAAGAAAGAATGCACGTATTTCTGAATTGTATGACAAAAAAAAAAGAAAAAAAGGAAGATTTTTTTCTGCTTGTATTAAAATTGGTGTTATTGTTGCAGATTGTGGAGATGTGCCGTTTATAAATGATGGAAACATTATTTTGCAAGAGGAGGGAAATAGCTCATACGGCGCCTTAGCCAAAGTAACATGTAACACAGGCTATAACGCGACATTAAATGCCATAGTTTGTCTGGACACAGGGGAATGGGAAAACATCACTTGCAATATTATTGGTGTGTTGTTTTCTAAATCAGATTGTAAATCACAAGGATATTTCTTTACTTTTTTAACTTTATTTGAAGACCATTGATTTAGCGTCAGTGAATTTATAAATAGGTACATTTTTCAATCTTTTCATGGAAAATTGTCAGTTTCATCCAACTCTAGTCATGTTGATTGCACTTTAATACCTATGTACTTGTATGCAACCTATAAAAGTGAAAGTGTTGCAATAAAACACTACCTAATCTGTAAGTTAGGTATATGTATTGTTCGTTGTACTAATTTATCATCAATTTCAATTTTACTATGTAAATTGTTATAAGATGAAAAAATCCTACAGAATTTTTCCAGTTTTTACACATAGAAGAAGATAAGCAAGTGAAAAGAATATATTTAAAATATGCATTATTAAAGAGAATCATAACTGTAACAATGTTTCGAGTATAGGTCACATTTCTTCCTTTACAGTTACCTGCCTTTGTAAGGCCATTTTTATGAGCATGTAACTCACAACAAGGACAAGCACCACTTAATTTGATTTCAAATTCGTATTTATATCTTTATTCCCTGTCATTGTGTTGTAATTCTATGCAGCATATTTGGTGTTTAGTTTAATGTCTTTTTTAGACAATGGCGATGTTTTTTTTTTTGTTTTTTTTTATTTAGACTGTGGAAAAGTCCCATCAGTTTTGAATGGGAGCATAGAACTTGTAGAAGACGGGAATACCACATACGGTGCTTTAGCTGAAGTGATATGTGACACAGGTTATAACAAATCGCGAGATATTTTAGAATGTAACAATACTGGCGAATGGGATAAACCTACATGTGATCTTATTGGCAAGTTTATACATTCATAATAATGCAAAAACAGATGAAATGCAGCACCAATCACATGTTAATAAAAGCTTGTGCATTTCGTATTTGACTTGCAAACCCTTTAGAATTGTTTGGTCAGAACAATATTGACTTTGATAAACAAGATTATTTCCACAATGCTGATTTGATTCTTATATAATTTGGTAAGGTAATTACATTATGAGTTACTATTGATAAACTGTATTGAAAAATGAATGATACTTCTTTTTAAGTAGAATAGATGTTTTGATGTTTGATAAACATGATAAACACCTTTGCAGATTGTGGAACTGTTCCGTTGATTAATGGTGGATCCATAACCTTAAACCAGGCTGGAAATAGCTCTTATGGTGCTCTTGCAGAAGTTAGATGTAACACCGGCTATAATACAACCTTACCTACCATAGAGTGTGGCGATAATGGGAAATGGGATAACACGACTTGTGATATTGTTGGTGTGTACTTATTTTGTTTTATAGAGACATTTTATCCAAAAGTTTAAAGTTTACAGTGTCATGCTGACTGTAACGACATTGATTTGTTTGGTTTGGTCTTGTTTTATGTTGCACCAACGCTATAAGGTCATATTGTAGCTTTCGAGCTTTATCGATTGAAAAAATTTCCAGGTTAATCTCTTTGCATTGTTTCAGGCACGAACGGGTACCTGAATAGGACCATCGACGTTCGTAAGCTAGGTAGCGTCATTGTATATAAATGCTTATTTGAAGAAAGATGTTTTAACTTTCTTGCAAATTAATGAACGTGCTTTGAGACATTATTTAGTATTTTTATGCCCCAACTCTTGGGGGGAGTACACTTACATTTGTCTTTGACCTAGAGTCAACACACTTTACAGGACTATTGATCAGCTTGTGAAGTTGTGCAGCTTACGTTATCGCGGTGAGTTATTCTTTTTGACTTAGAAAATATTTGATTTTTTCCACTTGTGTCGCGCAAAGTTCAAAAGGTATTTGACTTGGAGTTATGAAATTTTCAAGGAATGTTGGTCAGCATGTATAGTTATGCACCTGAGGGTTTGCTTGTCGATATATTTGTAAAGTAATTGCCCTTGACATAGAAAAAATTGCAATTTTCAACTTTTTTGTGCGTAATTCACATATTTGACTTAGACCGTCATGAAACTTTATGCATGTGAAGTTGTACATCTAAGAATTTGCTTCTTATTATTTTTGTCATACTTTAGTATATAAACAATGAGATTCAGTATTCTTGCTGCTTAATTGAGAAAAATCAAGATGTCAGCATTGCAAAACACTGTAAAGCGATGTAACATATATTTTACAGTATACATCAACCTATACGATTTCTAGACGAAAATGCTGCTATAATTACCAGTGGAACGGTCACTCTCGATAATATAACGACACGCACAATCTTATTTTGATCAATCTTGTTAACTAATTTAACTCGTTTTTATTTTAACAGACTGTGGAAACGTACCATTAATATCGAATGGAAGCATAACCCTTATAGAAGATGGAAACACGACTTACGGCGCTTTAGCGGAAGTGACATGCGAAACAGGTTATAATGAGACGCTAAAAATCATAGAATGTCGGGACACCGGGGACTGGGATGCTACTGATTGTAATTTGATAGGTATGGTGATATAAAAATCATCTTAAAAGATTAACCACAGTCGCAATTGATAATATGTAGTACAATCATATTATCTTATAATAACATATCGAAAAGACGACCTAGAGTGATAAGTTATCTACAAATATATTGGAATCGAATAATATTTTATGTTTAATCGAAAAAAGCATTTCTCAATTTAAGTTTACTAACATGTTATTAATGTCTAATTCTGCGACATTCAGTCTCAGTTTAGAATTTGTTAATCTTGCTAATTTATATGATCATTCATAGTTTGAAGCCTTCCCTACTATTTCCTTACAAGTCATTTTATCAACTTTGTATTCTATTAATTGTTTAGATTGCGGAACTGTTCCACAGCTAGATAATGGCAATGTAGTGTTAAAAGTGGATGGACTGAGCTCTTATGGCACAGAAGCAGTTGTTACATGCGAACAAGGCTATAATACTACTTCAGAAACAATACAATGTCTTGACACTGGAAAATGGGATAAAACTAGTTGCGAAATAGTTGGTAAGTATTCTTCATATATGATATCTGGTGTGAAATGACTAAGAATCATTAGCTAACTTATTATGATTTATTATTTTTCTTTTTTAGATTGCGGAGAAGTACCTGTTGTTACAAAAGGTACCATCACTCTTCTAGAAGAAAATAACACAACCTATACCGCACTTGCGAACGTAAGCTGTGAAACGGGCTACAATCTAAGCAAAGGCATAATACAATGTCTAGAAACGGGACTCTGGGAAATAACTGGATGTCAGATACTAGGTATGTGATTAACTTATAAAAGAAAAAATATGTTTTACATATTAAATATAATTCTTATTTTATAATAGAACGATATGGAATAACTTTTTCAACAGCACCTTAAAGCAGAAGTAAAGTCTAACTACATAAAACCTTTGGCGCTTTTATTTAAAACAAGCATGAAGAAGAGACAATACAAGGAATCAATAATTGTTCCGAATGGAAAAAAATGTATTCAATGGTTTGCTGAATTATTATGGTTCCAACATATATGTCATACTTCCACTTGCCTTTCACCGCTGTGGGTTCAAATTACGATAGGAACTGTGGATTCTTTCATGAGAGGAAGCTATTCAGTTTGCTTTCGGAACGTTAGTGGTTCTACTAAGGTGCCTTTTTTGTCTTTATAAGGGAAGGGCACCTAAAGTTTTTCTGCAAAAGCAAAGCTGGAAGGTGCTGGTTGGACTTAAAATTCAACAAAGAAAAGTATAATTGCTCGGGTTTATTATTATTGTGCCCCCACTATAGGGGGAGAGGATAATTTAGATTTACCTTTGTCCGTCCATCCGTCTTTCCGTCCATCCATCGGTTCTATTTTGTGTCGCACGTAGCTCAAAACATATTTGACCTAGAGCCATGAAACTTATAGGAATATTGGTCAGCATGAGTAGTTGAGCACCTGTGTGTTTGCGTGCGGATTTATTCAGTATTTGCAGGGTAATTGACTTTGACTTAGTACAAATTTGCAATTTTCAAATTGCTTCACACGTAGCTTAGAAATTATTTTACCTAGGGTCATGAAACTTTACAGGAATGTTGCTCAACATGTGAAGATGTGCACCTATTATTTCAATTGTGGCATTATTCTGTTTTGTTATTGCCCTTGAATTAGTAAAAAATTGCAATTTTGTACTTGAGCATGTATATATCAAAAAGTATTTGACATAGAGTAATAAAACTTTACAGAAATGCTGGTCGCATAATATAGACATGCAGTTTTGGGTTTTATGGATTAATACAGTATTGTAGAGTAATTGCCCTTAGCTTAGTAAAAACCATTCCAAAAGTTTGTTGTTATGTGTTCCTCGAGTGTTTGAGTTAGAATCAACCAACTTTACAGGAATGATGATCAACAACACTGAAGAGCTGTGCACCTTGTGGTTTTGTAGGTTGAATTTTTTTGTGTTATTAGAGTTATTGTCATTGACTGAGTATGAATTATAGACTTATTCATGCAAAGCTAAAAAAGCTTAGATCTGTTGTCCTGAAAGTATACAAGAATGTTGGTTAGCATGTGTAGTTATGCACCTTGGGGTTTGCTTGTGGATTTATTCTTTTTTTACTTAGTAAATAAAATTCAGTTTTCAACTTATGTCAAACCCAGCCCAAGAAAATTTGACCTAAGAGTCAGTAGATTAACAAAACAGTGGAGTATCAGGGCACCCGTGTCCCAAGGACACATTTTGAGCTATTTTAGGAAGCTATTTTGCTAGCATACTGTAGTTCCGCTCGTACCTGAATGATATACGGAGGGGCACCTGAGGATTTTCCTCCAACACTTAAAGATATACCTTGCTCATCCTTCAGTAAATTATTTTTAACATAGAAATTTATTGAAATATTTTGAAATTCTTATTGAATATATTGATTTGGATAAAAGAATGAATAAACTTATGAATGGGAAGCTGTTTTCCCTATTACAGGTCAAGTAAAGTTGTCTTTTCCTTAAAATAATGCCAGTTTTTTTAATATAATTTATATTCTTATTATGACCACCTATAGTGTTTAGAGTTAAACAAAATAGCATATTCTACTTTGTTATTAATTCAAAACATGTTTATTTTTATATATATAATGAGAATGTGTATCCATTGTTAATATTTTTCTGAAATCAAATTTGGAGCATAGTACATCTTTAAACTTCAATGTGCTCTGTAAGTATCAAACTAAATAAAAAATATATATATATATTATTTTAAATTCATACAGATATTAAATTTTGCACTTAAAACGGAGAAACATGCAAAAATATAAATACTCAGTATCAAATTGAAAATCGACTTTATGTGTGATTTTTATCCTTATCCCAATTTTTAATTTTGGGTCATTTTACGCATTGAAATTTATTATTCTTGAAAATCCGAGTTTGTGAATAATCTAGAATTTTGCACGTCGGCTGTCAACGCATAAATATGATTAAATATACAAATATTTATTACTGACCAGATTGCGATGCTGTGCCAGACGTTTTTAAATGGGATTGTAGCCTTACAAGAATCTGAAAATACTACATATGGTAAACAAGCCGAGGTTATATGTAACAGTGGCTACAATGCAACCTCCGAAACAATACTTTGTCTAGATACAGGAAAATGGGAAACTCCACAGTGTGAAATATTAGGTAACTTTTAATCATTTAAAAATAATGAATGAAGAAATTATTCAATTTGAAATACTTGGCTTAGTGATAAAAATGTAAACTAAAATATCATATTTATTTTTATTAAATGTGTAAAAGTCATACATGAAATAAACACAATTGTATAGACCATGTTAAAAATGAAATTTATCTTGAGTTATATTTTAAGATTGTGAGGCTGTTCCGGTCATCGCTAATGGACAAATAACTCTTACACAAGATGGAAATACCACGTATGGTGCAATAGCGAATGTATCATGTTCAACAGGATATAACGCGACAATAGACACTATACTGTGTCTAGAAACAGGCGAATGGGACAATGCAACATGTAATTCAATAGGTAAATTGATTCACCTATACGTGACAGAAACATTGACATACGTAGACACAGTTGTTAGGGGAAATCGGTTTTAATAGTTTAATTCAGTTTTGTTTTAATTAAAGGGAAAGATAAAGAAAGGAAACTTAATTTGCTTCCTTGAATTATATTCATAATCAGGTGAAACTTTATAAGCAAGGCAAAATATTTTCACAAATCTGGTTTTATATTAAATGAAGAAACCTTCTCCTCCAGACTCCCTCCCATTCAAATCTTTTCATTTTGTGAGTCATAAAAGCTCTGAACGTGTAAATATTGTTATTATCAAAATGTTGCACAATACATAAACTATTTATTATGAATAAAGTAGTGAAAAAAAAAAGAAATCTTAAGTGCTGTTTTATAAGTCTGATAGTTTTTGTGTCAATAATCTAATGACTATTTTACATGTGAAAACAGACACTAGTATCACATTTCTAAAGGTGTTGAACAGTTATAGTATTGTTGATAAATATTTTTGTTTTTTTAAACTCAGGGGAAACGATGTAAATTTAACATAGTCTTAAATAAAAAAACCAACCCGGGGATTTTTTCTAGGCAAAAAACTGTTTACACTACCAGTGGAATTTTTACGGGAAAAGGGGATGATTTTAAAAAATGCACAATTCTATTTTATCTTTTCATCGGGTTAAAAATTTTTTTGTTTTTTTATTTTAATTTAGACTGGGGTAACCTACCTTTCAATTTTCCAAAAGGGAAAGCAAACCCCCCAAAAAGGAAAGGGAAAACACAAAACGGCGTTTTTTGCGGAAAGTAAACATCCCAAAACAGGTTATAAGGGAGACGCAAAATATCAAGAATGTCGGGACTCTGGTGACTGGGATGTTACTGGATGTAATTTGATAGGTATGGTGTTTAAATTCGGCTGTAAAAGATTAACCACAGTCACTAATAAATAAAATATATGTTCGTACAAGTATTTTATCAAATAATAACAGAAATAAAAAAGACGACATAGGTTGTTAAGTTATCTACAAATAGAAACCAATCATATTCTATGTTTGATCGGAAAAAAAAACTTTCTCAATATTAGTTTTATGAGAGAAACCTATTCAGCTACCTTTCGGAACGTCGGTGGTACTACTCGCGTGCCCTTTCATGTCTAAATGAGGGAAGAGCACTTGAAGTCTTGCTGCAAAATTAAGTGCAATGTAAAATTCAACAAAAAAGTGTCATTGCTCGGCTTTTTGATTATTTTTTTGTGCTCCCACAGGGGGGGGGGGGGCATTTAGATTTACCCTTGTCGGGTCCATCCGTCCGTCCGCTCTCGCGGGACACTTATTATGTGGTTAGAGGGACAAAAAGGTAAACTTTTCTTTTCTTTTAAGTTCATTTCATTTCTGTTTTAATAGCTTTTTAAAGTGGAGCACATTATAAAAAAATGATTACAACCTCCGTCTATCCGTCCATTTCCATCCGTAGGTTGTTTCACTTTTATGTTGCCACGTAGCTAGAACCTATTTGACCCTGGAACCAAGGAACTTTTGATTTAGCCTACCTTGCTTTTCCTTATGCCCTGCCTGTTTTCTGTTTGGGGGTCCTCCTTGGGCTCCCTGCCGATTTTCTTGTTTGCTGTGTGTGTGGAGGGTTGCGTTTATTTAACAGCACCTTTCCTTGTTGATCTTGTTTATCATATTTAATAGGAATATTGGTCAGCATGTGTAGTTGTGCACCTGGGTGTTTGCGTATGGATTTATTCAGCATTTGTAATCATTGACCTTGACTTAGTAAAAAAAATTGCAATTTTCATCTTATGTGACACGTTCCTCAAAAAGCATTTGACCTAGGGTCATGAAACTTTACAGAAATGTTGCTAAGCATGTGGAGTTGTGCACCTGAGGTTTAAAAATGTTAATTTAATCTGTTTTGTCAGAGTTGTTGCCCTTGACTTCGTAAAATTTGCCATTATCAACTTTTATCGCACGTAGCTCAAAAAGTATTTGACCTATTGTCATGAAACTTTACAGGAATATTGATCAAGATGTGAACTTTTGAACCTGATGTTTCGCTGTTAGAGTTATTCTGTTTTGTCAGAATTATGCCCTTGACTTAATAAAAAATTTCCAATTTTCAATTTGTGTCGCACGAAGCTCAAAAAGTAATTGTCATAGTGTCATGCAACTTTAAATATAGGAATGTTGGTCAGCATATGTAGTTGTGCACCAGGGGTCTCCGTTGTGGATTTATTCAGTATTTCTAGAGTTATTGTGCCCCCCCCCACTTTAGAAGGGGGGCGGCATTTAGATTTACCCGTGTCCATCCATCCATCCGTCCGCACAAACGGGACAATAATAAAGTGGTTAGAGGGACAATAGGTAAATGTTCTTCCTCTTTGATGTCATTTATTCCGTAATGTTTTATGTAGTATCTTCATTATGTGGCTAAACAGAACAGAAAAAAAGAGAGAATAATAGAGTAGCAACATTATAACTGTCCCGTAAGAACTTCCGTCTCTTCGTCCATCCAACTTAGTAAAAGTTAAAAATTTTCAACTTGTGTCTCACGAAACTCAAAAGTATTTGACCTTGAGTCATGAAACCTTAAAGGAATGTTGATCAGCCTGTGTAGCTGTGCACCTGGGTATTTTCTTGTGGATTTATTTTAGTATTTGCAGAGTTATAGTCATTGACTTAGTAAATATTTGCAATTTTCAACTTGTGTCACACGTAGTTCAAAAAGTATTTGACCTAGGGTCATAAAACTTTATATGAATGTTAATTAGCATGTGAAGTCGAGCACTTGGGTTTTCGCTTTTCAATTTATTTGTTTTGTCAGAGTTATCGCCTCTGACTTAGCGAAAATTTGCAATTTTTAATTTGTGTCGTACTTAGCTTAAAATGTATTTAACCTAGAGTCATGAACCTTATATGAATGTTGGTCAGCATGTGTAGTTGTGCACGTGGATTTATCCAGTTTTGTAGAGTTATTGCCCTTGACTTAGTTAAAACCGTCTCATTATGTTGTGTTACTTGTTCCTTGAGTGATTGAGTTAGAATTAACCAACTTTACAGAAATAAATCAACGCCACTGTGAAGCTATGCACCTGGGATTTTGCCCGTGGATTTTTTTAAAGTTATTGCCATTGTCTTAGTATACATTTGCAATTTTCAACTTATTTATGCATAGCTCAAATAGTATTTGACCTGTAAGCTTGACAGTTTACAAGAATGTTGGTCAGCATATGTACTTATGCACTTTGGAGTTCGCTTGTAGATTTATTCAGTATTTGTAAAGTTTTTGCCCTTAACTCAGTAAAAGATTTTTAGTTTTTAACTTGTGGCACATGTAGCCCAAAACATTTTTGACATAGAGTCATAAGATTGACAAAACAGTAATGGAGTGTGGAGGCACCCGTGTCCTATGGTCACATTTCTACTTGCCCCTGAATTTCTAGTAGTACGAATTTGCTATTCTTAACGTGAACATGTACGATATATCTCAAAAGTATTTGATCTAAAGTCATGAAACTTTACAGAAAAGCTGGTCACATACGTAGTTATGCAATTTGAGGTTTTATGGATTTATAGAGTATTTGTAGAGTAATTGCCATTGACGTAGTAAAAACATTCAAAAAACGTAGTGTTATGTGTACTTTAAGTGCTTGAGTTGAAATCAACCAACTTTAAAAATAAATGACTATCAACATCACTATGAAGCTGTGCACCTTGTGATTTTGCAAGAGGATTTTTCTGATTTATTAGAGTTATTGATCTTTACTTAGAATGAATTATATAATTGTTCATGCATAGCTCAAAAATTTTTTGCCCTTGGGGTTTCCTGTAATTTTAAAAATTTGGGCAGCTTTATGTTTTTGGCCCCTTTGGGGTTTTGTTTGTGGGTTTTTATTCATATTTTGGTTTTTTTTTGTGATTTGGTCTTTTTAAAAAAACATTTTTCCCAAACTTGTGTCACGTTTTTTGCCCTAAAGCCCAGTAGATTTGACAAAATAATGGATAATAGGGGCACCCGTGGTCCATGGACACATTTTTAGTTACGTTAGAAAGTAACATTGCTTGCATGATGTAGGTCCGCTCGTGCCTGAATGAAATACGGAGGGGCACCTGAATTTTTCTCCACAACTTAAACTTAAAAGTCGGCATATGCTCAGACAGAATTTCCATTAAAGTATCAAACAAATTAAAAAATCAATAATAAAATATATAATTTTAAATTCATCAGATTTTTACTTTTGCACTTAAAACGGAGAAACATGCAAACTTTAATATACCCAGTATCAAATTGAAATCGATTGTATGGGCGATTCTTATCCCAAATTTTAATTTAAGTTTTGGGTCATCTTAAACAATGAAATTGATTATTCTTGAAAATCAGAGTTTCCGAATAATCTGAAATTTCGCACATGGGTTGTCAACACATAAATTTGATTGAACATACAAATATTCATTACTGATTAGATTGCGACGCTGTGCCAGACGTTTTAAATGGGATTGTGGCATTACAAGAATCTGAAAATACTACATATGGTAAACAAGCCGAAGTTATATGTAACAGTGGCTACAATGCAACCTCCGAAACAATACTTTGTCTTGAAACAGGAAAATGGGAAACTCCACAGTGTAAAATATTAGGTAACTTTTAATCATTTAAAAATAATGGATGAAGAAATTATTATAGTTGAAATACTTGTCTTAGTAATACAATCTTTAAACTAAAATATCATGCACATTTTATTATATATGTAAAAAAAAAATATACATGAAATAAACATTATTGTCAGACCATTTTCAAAATGCAATTCATTTTGAGGTATATTTTAAGATTGTGAGGCTGTTCCGGTCATCGCTAATGGACAAATTACTCTTGAACAAGATGGAAATACCACGTATGGCGCGATAGCAAATGTATCATGTTCAACAGGATATAACGCGACAGTAGACACTATACTGTGTCTAGGAACAGGAAAATGGGATAATACAACATGTTATTTAATAGGTACATCGATTCTTAAGTAATATCAAACCATTTGAGATTCCTAAGTACACAGTTTTTGAAAATTTCGTAATAGTTTTGATCTAAAGAACAGGACAGAAATTGAAAGAAAAGTGCATTTGCTTTCGTAAAATGATATCAGGTTAAACTTTATATAAATTATAAGTTTTATAATTTTTAAATATTTTAAACAAAACTCATGTAAAATACTGTAACAATAAACCATACCATCTAGTCCACTCTATTCAAATCTTTTTCCCTTTTTCATATTTTACCCCGACACAAAGGGTTTGGGAAAGTGTTTTTTGGGGTTTTTTGTTTTAATATTAAATTTCAGTTTTTTCATAATTTCTTTAAAAAATTCTTTAAGGGGAGATAGACCCGAAATTTTTTAGTATTTGTCCGGGAGATTTTAAAAATCAAAAAATTTTTACTTTTTTAGGGTGTTCATTAGGGAAAATAAAAAATTTATTGAAAAGGTTTTTTTTGCAAATATGTAAAATGATTTCGGGACCGGTTCCTTGAGGGTTTTCAACGGGGAAAAGTGGCTTTATTTGATGTTGTTAAAAAAACATTTTGGTCTTTTGGGGGACATAAAACCCGTGAACTGGCCCATTTAAACCCTCTTTGGTTCCCTACATTTCCGGGTTTCCGGGGTCTGGGGTACGCTTTAATTTCGATTTAATAAGGGAGATAATTTTTTGTTTTTAACTTTTTGAACGCTTTAAACGATTTTTGTATTTTTTATTACTTTTATTAATCAATGATATAGTTTAAATTTGTGAAAACAAATTTTGACTTGATCCTGTTCAAGACTTCAACTGAAGTTTGACATTTTTATCATTGTTCCTTAGGTAGGTGTAAAATAACACTATTACTGCTTACATTTCTTTTTCTTATATCAAATAAGTTACTCGAGACAAAGACATCTCACTTTTTCAGACTGTTTCGTAGTATTAAAACACGATACGAAAAGTAATATGGACACGAATTACTGAAACGTTAAGCTTTGTTATAATACGAAAATATTATATAACGAACAGAATGAAAACAAACTGAAGTTTTTCATTTTAACTTTTTAATTGTATCTAAATGTAAAATATGTTTTTGAAGAAATCCAAGCCTAAATAAAATCAATGTATTACATCAAAAATGATTTTGTAGGCTGTGGAAACGTGTCAGTAATATCGAATGGAGACATAACACTTATAGATGAAGGCAATACTACATACGGCGCCTTAGCTGAAGTTACATGTAACACAGGCTATAATAAAACCATAAACATTATAGAATGTCACGACACCGGAGAATGGGATGTTCCTGCTTGTTACTTAATAGGTTTATACATATATAATAAACATCTTGTCCAAATTTATTGGGTCTTAATTTACCTTTAATTTATTTTATTTTCGAATGTTTAAAGCAGAACGAAATTACCATTTAATTGTTTTAGTGCAAAATATGCTGTAAATGATTTATAGACAATTAAAATGTTAAGATTTTAACAAAATGTAGAAAAATGTCTTATTCGGGAAATATCAAGCTTGAAGATATGCATGCTATTGTTTACAGAAGTTACTATGGTGATTTCATATATATGCAGACTGTGGAGATGTCCCAACGATATCTAATGGAACCATTTACCTAAAAGAAGTAGGAAATACCACATACGGAGCTATTGCGGAGGTAGTATGTGAAAATGGCTATAACGAAACTCTAGATATAATCGAATGTCGCAATACAGGGGAATGGGATGCCGTTGAATGTTATTTAATTGGTATATAATGATTTCAATGTTAATCACTAGTTATACTAAACTTGTGAAATTATTATGGAAGCTTGAGTTGTCTCCCTTGATGTCATTGTCGTAATAATTATATATTTGCATGTTCGACATGTATTCACAAGACATGACGTCTTCTATCATTGTTTTGAATTAACAAATTAAAATATATTGAAAATATCTTATTCTGAGTTTTGCCACATATGTTTTTAGCCATAGGACGAACATACTTGTAACTTTCCATTTCTTGTTTTCTGTGAATAAAACGCATTTTTTAATATTAAAGACGAATATAAAATAAAGTAATCAAAGTTTTATATTTATCTACTTTATCGCAGATTGTGGAATACTTCCACCAATTGATAATGGAAGCATTGCTTTGATAGATGACGGAAATAGCTCATTCGGTGCTTTAGCTGAAGTGACGTGCTACATTGGCCATAACGCGACTTTAAAAACCATAATGTGTCGTGATACTGGGAAATGGGATAATACTTCATGTGAAATTATAAGTATGAAGCTTACGTGTTCTTTCCTTATTTCTTTCTTTTTAATTTAAACATATTATTATTATTTCAAACGGAAAATATAATTTTAAGTGAAATATCCGACCGATGCTGAATTGTCATTTTAGTAAGCAACTTCGAATAGACGACTGATGCGGAGTTATTATTTCAATTTATGTTTGTATAGAATTATTTCAAACATTGTTTTATAAACTATTTTTTTTAACTTGGCATTTGAAATAATGTACTGGTATTAAAATGATATCATTACTCTACGGAACATTTAGTAAGAGTGTGATGAAAATATGTAAATTAAGTCAACAATTAATATATATTTATTAATGTAAAAACGTTAAGATATTTAAAAAAATCAAATTCATGTTCCGTGAAGTATACCGGTACGTTCGTGATTGACACTATGATCATAATGTGCACGTATGTTAAATTCTGATTATGACACTGCCTTCGATGTAAATAGAAACCTATTTATTAAAGATCCTGTACGTTTTGTGATTGATATTGTTATTATGTGTATACCACACTTGCACAATAATATATATGTATATAGTTATGCAAATAAAACGATTTTCAAACATCGAAGAATATGTAAAATGTGTACTGCAAATATTGTGCACATTATATTGAATCAATAAATAACATGCATTCATTTCTTATTGGAAAATTTAACTTAAAATTTATAGAAAATGAATTTCTAATTACCTCCCTTTATTTACATGAAATGTTAAATTAGGTAATACCTTTATAAATAATGCTTATTAGAACTAACAATATTGACAAATCTTAATTTGAACATCATATTTATGAATTAAAACCATAAAAATTGTGTTACAGGATCTTTAATAAATTGAGTTTTTATTTTTTACGACAATGTATTTTACATTTCTGTTGTGCTCAAACATGTCCCCATGAAATTCTAATATTCGCTCGTGTAAGTCATTATCAACAGAGTCTAGACAAGATATGTAAACCATAATTTCTTTTTACATTTTTTTGACGAAATCTTGTAGACATAATCCTGCAATTTTATATTTGCGTTTTATTGCCGTCATCAAATATAGCGAATAGTATATTGTCGCTAATATTAGTTGGGTTACAGTAATTATCATGGTTATTTCATAAATTTGCAGACTGCGGAGATGTCCCAACGATATCTAATGGAACCATTGACCTAAAAGAAGTAGGAAATACCACATACGGAGCTTTGGCGGAGGTAGTATGTGAACATGGCTTCAACGAGACTCTTGATATAATCGAATGTCGCGAAACAGGGGAATGGGATGTCGTTGGATGTTGTTTAATTGGTATGTAATGTTTTTAATGTTGATCACTTGAAATAATTTTGGAAGCTTGAGTTGATTCCATTTATGCCATTGTCATTAAAATTCATGTTTTAGTTTATAAACACGTATTAATGCAACATGTACTTCCCCATTGTTTTGAATTATTTGAATTAATATCTTGACAATATCTCTGATTGAAGGTTTTGCGACATATCTTTTATTTATAGGACTCACATACTTGTACCTTAATAGATATGTACGTTCAACTTTTAGAACTATCCATTTCTCATTTTCCGATAATAAAGCGTATTTTATTTCAATATTCAAGAGGAATATAAAATAAAGTAATCAAAGTTTTATATTTATCTACTTTCCTGCAGATTGTGGAATACTTCCACCAATTGATAATGGAAGCATTGCTTTGAAAGAGGACGGAAATAGCTCATTCGGTGCTTTAGCTGAAGTGACGTGCAATATTGGCAATAACGCGACTAAAGAAACCATAATGTGTCGTGGTACTGGGAAATGGGATAATACTTCATGTAAAATTATAAGTATGAAGTTTTCGTGTTAGTTTCTTCACTCTTTTTATATAAAACGTTTTGAGTTTCATGCGAAATAGATTTTTAAATGAAACACTCCACTGACAGAGAATCACAATATCATTTATTACTTAAAATATACTTTTTGACATATTGAAATATAGGAACTAATTCTATAAAACCCCTAACAATAAAATTTTAAAGGAAATGTGATAAGCACTTGCGGCGCTGAAGCAAATGTAATTTGTGAACATTTGGCTTAAATGCGACGTTGGTAATCATGCAATGTCGTGATACTGGCAAATTTGCTAACACAACTTGTAATATAATGTACAAGTTATAATTTATGTAAAGCGGTGTGTCGAAATTTTATCCAAAATATGTTTTCTTCTTGTTCTTATATATGTTATAATTTAAGATTGTGGAGACGTGCCTACTGTTATAAAGGGATCTGTTACTTTATTAGAAGAAAATAACACAACGTATAGCGCACTTGCAAATGTAAGCTGTGATACAGGTTACAATGCAAGCATAGGCATATTACAATGTCTAGAAACGGGACAATGGCAAACAACTAAATGTCATCTACTTGGTAAATTTTCACGCATTATATTATCATTTTGTATCACTATCGTGATACTTTATTGATTATAGTGACCTTGGAGTTTTAAAATAAAAAATAGGAAAACTTACGAAGCATAAAATGACGACCATTATATACTCGCAAAATTAATGAAGTGCCTACTGACAAATCAGGTGTCCTTTTGTAGAGACTGGAAAATGGGAAACCCAACAGTGTGAAATATTGAGTGAATAACTATTTATTATGATATAACGGATGGATGCTCTCATACCTCTGATATTTTGAATTTTTATTTATTGTTTGTGAAATCAATTATTAAGATGTATGTATGTATGTACATACGTACGGACGTATGTACGTGTATGCGTGTGTGCGTTGGAGCGTGCGTGCGTGTGTATGTATGGACATTTTTGGATTTCAAGTGTCAAAAATTGGATCTTATTTCGAGTCCCAATTAGAAACATTATCTATATACAAGTATTTTCATCGATCCACTTTATAAAAGGATAAACCATCATTGGACCACGACATGTCTCGGGCAAAACTGAGTGGCCAAAGACTAACATCAGGTTGAGAGTTGAATTACATTTTGTTTCTGACTTGACAGTCTTAATAATTTGCGCAAGTGGTGATGAATTGTATATGACAGGTCGCGTGGTAAGAGCTGGGTTGGTATTCAAATATTCTAGATTTCAGCATATTCACGAAAAATTTTGTCTATTACTTTGAACTCATTCCTGTTGTCACACATCAGTTTAGAATAAGGAAAGATAGAGCATGCATGGTATTTATTTTAAGATTGTGAGGCTGTTCCGGTCATCGCTAATGGACAAGTTACTCTTACACAAGATGGAAATACCACGTTTGGAGCGATAGCGAATGTATCATGTTCAATAGGATATAACGCGACAGTAGATACTATACTGTGTCTAGATACAGGAGAATGGGATAATGCAACATGTACTTTAATAGGTATGTTTTTGATCATATCTTATTTTGTAATTTAGAAAACTTCAAGACAAACTTTTTTCTTTGGAAAAGAAAATATTTTGAATTTTTAAAGAAGATGTGTTGTTTCTATTTGTTGTTATAATGAAAAAGAATAACTACGAGGAAGCTTTTTAAAGAAAATATTTTCTTACATGTAATTGTCTTAAAATTTAATTATAATTTAGATTGTAGTGTGGCCCCTAAAGTGTCTAATGGAAACGTAGCTTTGCTCAAAGAAGAAAATACTACATATGGAGCATTAGCGGAAATAACCTGTGAGACTGGTTATAATTTTTCTGTGTCAACCATACAGTGTCGTGATACCGGGTTCTGGGATACTGCTACATGCGATTTAATTGGTAATAACATTTACAATTTACTGTTTATTTTTTACCTGTTTAAATGTAGTGAAGGCTTCGTACTATTTTAATATTGAACCGAGCTTTTTTGAAAAATATTGTAATTTAACCTTCCTCTAGATTAATCTATTATATATCCCAACGTTATTTAAAAAAAGAAGAAAAAATTCTATTTGATTTGAACAGTGAACAAGAATTTACTTGAATTTATTTTTGTTACATTATGATATTAGTTTGTGAACCATCACCAACGATAGAAAACGGGGAAATAACTTTACAAGAAGAAAGAAATTATTCTTTTGGTGCAATAGCTCGTATTGACTGTGACACGGGATATACTGCAGGTATAACTGCTATACAATGTCGTAGAAATGGGACTTGGGATACGACTATCTGTTCAATAATAGGTTTGTGTTTGTATCAATACAAAGTGAATAAATCTACTAAACATTTTGAAGTACGAAACATAGAAAACACTCATAATCCCTTTTTCTTGAAAACATAATTTGCAACACCTAATTTTATAATCTGTATTAAGCTAAGTGTCGACTTTTTTTTTTAAATTTCTACCATAATGTAAAGGTTTTAAATGAATGTTTCTATGAAATTGGTCAAGACACTTATTTATTTAAATCAGATTGTGGCAGACCAGATGATCTAATGAATGGTACTATCAATACTTCTAATGGTACAACATATGGTTCAACTGCCACATATTCATGTGATGAAGGTCTTGATATTATTGGTGATGTAACTCGAATATGTGATGCAAACGGAAAATGGAGTAAAACGAAGCCTGATTGTTTGCTAAAAGGTAGCTCATATTTTAGTAAACTAAATATGAAGTTAGTTATATATATAAACAAACTCAATTAAAAAGTATTTTTCATGGTATGTTTTTGATAGAGGCGCACAATGAATAGATTGTTGGCGGTTCTTTCACCTCAAGGAAAACATTTTGTAGTTGAATTCTTTCTAGTCACATTGTATTAATTTTGTTTTATGCAATATTATATTTTCACTTTAGTCTGGCGTTATAAGCAATTGATATTATGCAAATCAAGTTAAGCAGGCTGCCGCAAACGACCATCATTATTGTCAAAAATAAGCTTGCATGTTCAATATGAACTTTGATCGTAATAAATTTGAAAGAAATAATTTCGAATACGAATTAAACTGTAAAGAATGAACAACTTAACAAATTACCAATTCCTCGAGGAAGTAATATTCATATAGTAAATATGAAATCAAGTCTGAGACCATCAATTGCACAACATCATATTTGACTACGAAAAACATGCAGACATTCATTGGACATATTACAGTCTGTGATTGCTAATTCTCTAGAGCGTTAATCATCTGCTTTCGTTATTCTTAGCTAGACCTTATTACTAGTTTAGATCTTACACGAATTTACATATGATTATCTCTTCATTATCCTGTAGAAGTACAAACACCTAAAACTTGTAAGGAGAATGTAGACAGTAGAGGACTAACTTGGAAAGAAACAATATCTGGAAATATTAGGAATGAAAGTTGCCAAAGCGGATTTACAGGTATCAGTTATACTTTTTTTATTTCTTTATAATTTATTTTTTCTCTCTGATCATACCGTAATAAAGTGTACATAACATATAATAAACTTCTGTCCAGATAATACAAAAGCATGGTCACAAAGAGTTGTTTTTTCTACACACAAACACACGCACGCACGCACACACATCCGCACCCATACATCCACATTTCCAATTTATAAATACCAGCAGGATTTATAACTATACATATTTTGAACATAAAGCACACACTAAACAGCACACATACAAATCAGTAATACTTGTTAGCATTCATTGTAAACTCTTATCGATCTTACTTAATTATTTTGATAATAATTCAACGCAGATATTGTAAGTAAGACCTTATATTATACATGTATAGTTTACAGTCTCTCCTTTTTACTAAAACACTTAGTTTTCTATCAATAAAAACTATCCAAAGTCTCAGTAAGTAACAAAAAAGTTGATGGTTTTATTTATTTTTTATTACATTGTTGTTCTGATATCTGTTATTTTCTAAAGATTAAGAGCCATCCAAATTAAGTCTGGCATAATAGAAAAATTAGCTGATTTAGAATATCTTGCTAACGTATTTCATATATTTGCCTTAAAATCCAAAGTATTGTAGCTTGATTAATAATATACATATAATTAAGTACAACAAATCTTTAGGTTCGATATCTAGGACATGTGGTGCTGGCGGAGTGTGGAACTTGCCGCAATATAATTGTGTTCGTGAATCGATAGTAAAAGTTAATGAAAAGGTAAGTGTGTCAATACAATTTTATTCTTGTTATAGTTAAGCGACAGGAACGTTGATAATTTTGTATGTTAATTGTTTCTTCCATTGTTATTTTGATGACTTTATTTTTAAAGATTGAAAACTATCCACATTTATTATGTCACTAAAATAATGCGTTTTATTTATTGAAGTTAGCCCTTCTACAAACTGTTTATATAAATAAATTAAAAAAAAAAATTCACCACTACTTAGTTGCTATCTAGTTAGCTTATTGAAGGTTAGAGGGTCTACCCAGCCGCCCAGGTGTGTCGTTAATCAGAATAAAGTTGTACCTTATGTCTTGCAATGTCCTACATCAACAATAAAACTGGAGTTTACCAAATGACTAAAAACCATACAAAATGAATTAGTGTTATTTGACTTATTATGTACACTTAGGTATTAAAGCTGAGCAAAAATTCAACCGGGGATGAAGTTGATACTGTCTTGGAGGAAATTTTAAAAGTGACAACAGTAAATGAAACAACTGATAACAACAATACTTTAACTGATGGCGAATTAAGAGTTCTATCTTCATCGCTTGAGACAGTAGCGGATGTGTTGGCAAATTCTTCTGGAATCATAAATGAAAACATTACTGATGTATGATATGAGTACAATTTTTATTAAAATTAGTATCAGTAGCATGTAAGATCTAATTATAAGACATTTAAGACATTTGAATGAGATTTATCTTGAGAACGAGAGCTATCGTGGTAAAGATTTGGATTCACTAATGAAATTTGTTATTTGAATTTTCATATATATCTTTGCGGATAAAGGTATTTAATTTTGTATGCAATTGAAATTGTTGAATTTTCAAAACTAACAACAAACAACAACTAACATAACTATTGTTATTTAATAAAGCAATTATAATATTATAATACAGTAAAATAAGATTGGTGTAACTCTATTTCCTCTCACTTAAACATAATTGTTTCATAGAGTGTAGCTTGATAATTTTCCTTGCTATGTTAAATCAATTTTTGTTTTCTACGGTAGGAATTCCTAGAAATTGCGAGTAATCTTGTCGATGATTCCAATCAAGAGAGTTGGAAGTCTATTTCTCAGTCGGTATGTATTGGACGAGTTTACGTCCTTTGTATACAATATTTAAGTATCCAATTAAAATGATTGACTAATTTACATGAATGTACAAAAAATATCAAACAAAACTGGTATTTATTTTTTGGAAATAATAAATTTAGCCCTAGTAAAACTGAAAAGTGTCAAGCCCAAAAAATTATTGCACTTTCAAATTTTCTGGAGTAAATTAAGCCTGTCTGTAATTTTTTATTTAAAGTTTGTTATTTTTCCCCTTTAGAAAAATTTTCACGACAAAGATTTTTTTAAAAGAGCATATTTTTGGGTTATTGAAAAATTTTAAAACAAACGTTTTTTACCCAACCCCAAAAAATTTCAAAATTTTTTAGGAAAAAACGAGTCAGCCAAAAGTGCTTAAAAGGGAGTTTTATTTTCCCTTTGGGTTTAGGGTTTCCCGATAATTTCAAATTTTGAATTTTGGTTTTGAAAATTAAACCAGGCACCCTAATTGGTTTAAAGAAAAATATTGGTATGTTTTAAATACGAGAGCCAATTTGGTAGAGCTAGATGACGACGTGTCATCGCACAAAGCGCTTATAAGTGCAAAACTTTCTGAAGCAGAAAAGATCGTTGTGTTTACCCTTTCTCCGTATTCATCTGACCTTGCCCCTTGTGACTTGCTAATTACACATTTCAGGCCGAAAATTTGTTCAGCTCAATATTCCAGTGTCTTCATAGTGTACTTAAAAAGACTATTAGTATCCGTGCTCTGCCTTGTGCCATGTCCTGTTTTTGTTTGGGGTCCGCCTGGGGATCTTACCACTGGTTTCGTTCATTGAACGCCGCCTTTCATTGTTGATCTTGTTTATCATATTTCAAACATTGGACTAGGACACTTAAACATTGTATACGTTGTATCCGTTTGAGGTATTTACTTTGAGAGAACAAAATGAAAATAAAGAAGTGAAACCTATAGATAATCATATTTTACGTGCTGAGATGCGTTTAAGTTTGAACACTCCCCGTAAGTATAAAAATTTATCAAAAGTATACGCGAAGTCAGCCAGTCTTGTTATTGTCTATCTTGGGTATTCTTGATAAAAGGCATAGAGACTCGTTTTTCTATTTTCAAAATATTCTTAGAATACATGCAGAAAATAAAGCCAATGGATTTATTATTATATTTTACTTAAACAGATAAAATTGTGTTGATAATAGACCTTTTCATAAATACAACGAAGTGTTGTCTGTTTGATACATTTAATATTCTCTTATTTTACTAAGGACATTTGCAGGTAATCATCGAAACCGCGAATCACTTTGTTTCCAGATTTTTAAACAGTTTCATACGTGACCAGAAAACATCAGGCACAATATCCTACTTACCATTTTGTGTTAATTGAAAATCATTTTCAAAAGTATGCACATAACATTGATTTTGTACATTTACAGCGATTGATGTAAAGAAAGTTTCTAACAAAGGTGTATCATTTCCGGATCCAGACAAAACAGTGTCGGACAAAGATGATGCAAACACCGACTGGTTTAAACAGGCCAGTAGCAGTTTACGCTTAGAAGCAGCCGCGTTGAAAAGTATTTTTTCAGGCTACCTATATACTTCATACATTTATTTGTTAAATATTCGTTTCGTCACATAACTCCATATTTACTTTTTCATTTTGTTTATACTATTATTAGTTTATGATACAATGTTGAGTACAATACAGAGTTCTTTTAGACGAGTAAAGAGCCGAGTGCGGGTCCAAAACAATCAGTTCTCAGCAATTTATAATGACCGCTTTAATTCACATTATTATTTTTTGACATTTTGGTCAGAAAGTTGCTACTTCAAGTACAATGATTTATTGACCAAGAAAATAAAATTGAGGCTTGACTGAGTACGATATGCACATGATATAGATAATTTTAAATGCAAATGAAAACGAGGCTATATAGGTTTTATATGCATTTAAATCGGATTTTCTGAACAATGTCATGGAAACAAGGCTATATGAGATATTATATGCATTTGATGAGGATATCTTTTTGACCTTGATCCAATAGTGATTTCAGTTGGAACATGACATAGTTCAAACGTAGAAAGTTCATTGGTTATATCTTATAATATGTGAAATAAAGTCAAAAATTTAAATAGTGTTTGATTGACGTTCTTTAAGTAACATTTTCTTTTTCAAAGGAAAGATATACCGCTTCCGCAGACATCGACCATGCATTCATTTATTTATTTTTTCGAAAATTAAATATATATAAACTTCAAAAATGTTTAACAGCACATTCTACTCTATTTCAGATACATCAGTGCAATACGCTACAACAGCCGTCATGTATAGAGATTTGTCGAAAATCTTGCCAAACAATCGGAACAATACAAATAACAAGTAATGGCTTTCTTTTTTTAACATACTTTTGTGTAATATTTGTTTGATCAAATACACAATTTTTAAATGAAATGTAGGCAAGCTATGTAATACGTCTAAAAGCATGCAATTCAAACGTTGTTTATTAAGTTGTACTTGAATGTGTTATATTATAATATACACTTCTATTTGACGCTTACGTTTTGTTTATTTCAAAAGTAGGATTTGTTATATCGTATTGTAATCATTACCTTTCCTATACTATCAGTATATATTTTACAAATACCTACCAGTATGAATACATGTTTTAATATATATGTTGTATATCTCAAACTAATTTTTGAATCCAAATATTTGTTTTGTTACAGTGCGGAGGATACTGATGATGTTATAAATGCACCCATTCTTTCGTTGACAATTTCACCACGAGTGTCGGATAAATTGGACCCACCACTCCAATTGAATTTTACTCATGACATGGTAGGAACTTTAAAGTCTATTAAATTGGAAAAGCTGTAAAACACTAGATCATAAAAATATTTCTTGTAAAAAATATATCGACACAGATAATGGCTATATACAAGGCGTATCTAAAAGCAATAATATATGTTATAAGGATCTTACAACGGCTTCCAGTACAGCACAAAATATGTATCATATTTCAGAAAAAAATTATTAAAGAAAGACTCGCATTAACTTCTCACTTTTTGTCTTCTTATAGCATATAAATTTACAACTTAATTCATACCGGAAAAATGACATCACTCTTAGAACTTAATTCATTTAAAAACGGCACGCGGGAATGTCGTCATTTAATGCACGTTACTTTTTTTTACACGAGAGATGTTAAAGAGGTTTTCCTTGCAACGGCAATTTTGCTTGATTTGCAAGAAAAGCATCGTCTCAAGAATTTTACTTAAAGATTTTAAGTTGATGTATTTTGCTTAATAAAAGATTATCATCAATTGAAGATTGAAACACTTTAATGTAAAACAGTTTAAGTCAATGTAAATGTTGTTTTCTCCTTTCATTAAGATACATTGTGCTTTATGTCTTTTCTGTATCTTTAATATACATAATTATGCCCCCCCCCCCCCTTCGAAGAAGAGGGGTATATTGTTTTGCTAATGTCCACATGGTTTCCGCAGATTTTCTTGAAACTTTTTATCACGAACTCTACATTTTCACATAGTGATTTGTCATATTCAGTAGATGACACAATTATATTTTCGGGTCACTAGGTCAGAGGTCAAGGTCACAGGTGCCTTAAATATCAGAATTGTTTCCGCTGATTATCTTGAAAAATAGTCATCATAAAGTCTTCATATTTCACATTGTAATTGGTCATAACTAGTACATGACCCTTTTGATTTTTGGGTCACTAGGTCAAAGGTTAAGGTCACAGGATTATTAAATGATAGTATGGTTTCATCTTATTATCTTATCACAAAGTCTTCATTTTTCTAATATTGATTGGTCATAAGTAGTAGATAACCCTTATTGATTTTGGGTCACTAGTTGTCACAGGTGCCTAAAATGACAGAATGGTTTCCGCACATTATCTTGAAAACTATAATCACAAAGTTTTCATTATTTTTTATTTTTGCCTTAATTGAACACTTCCATGTACCCATTTATGGCAAGTTTCTATAACAAAACTATCATTAATGTGAGACAAAGGCTAAAATGTGGGGCATATGTGTCGTTCGACATTTCGTGTTTACAAGTAATTTAAACTGAAATATTGTCTTGATATCAACTGGGGTCATCTTCGTCAATACTTTAGCATTTATATGATTAGTGTTTATTAAGACTTTGTCTTTCATAAAACACCTAGTAGCATTTTACATGCATGACACGTTGAGTGTTCCCAATGCCATGCACTTAATTAATAGACTTAAATCATAGTTAATATTATAGCCATTGTTCATTTGAATCATCCTGCAAGATGTTGTTAACCTTTACTTCTAGGCTGTCAAAACTGATGCTAATTCTCTCTTTGACCCTTGAATTATATATATGTAAACCAAAGGCTCGTTCAATTCAAATTTTAAAAAAGATGTTCCTGTCATATTTCAGACTAATTTCTCCAATCCATTGTGTTCGTATTGGGAATTTCCAAAGTAAGTAAGCTTCGATATGAATGTATACGATATAACACATGGATTGTTTAACAAATTACATTAAATATTATGAATGACTTTTGTGTCGATATCATTAAGTGTTTTGAAGATAACAAATTTATATACTTTAAGCAGGTGCTAAAACGGTTAGTTCTGTAAGTAAGCATTTGAAATTCAAAATTCTAGGAACAAACTTTTAGGATGTTTGATGTTTTTTTGTTATGACTGAAATTTGCTGAAGTCTTCTTTTTATTATATCATAATGTTTTTATTCTTTTAAAGTGGTAACACTGGACAAGGCTTTTGGTCTTCAGATGGGTGTATTGTAAAATCTACAAATACTAACTACACAATTTGTCTATGTGACCATCTGACCAACTTTGCTGTTTTGATGAGCCCTTTCTTGGAGGTATGTTTGTGTGTATTTAGATGTTCAAACTTGTTTTATCCACTTATGTTCTTGTTGCCTGATATCAAGCAAAGGGTTTTACCTGTTATAATTAAAAATAATATGGGTGAAATAACATTATGAGATGTATGCACATCAGACATTTATTAGAAAGTTGCACAGTACTTATTTTAGTTTAAGATATTACTCCATTATTTAGTAGTACACATTTAAAACTCCGTATTGGTATAAATGTACTTTAATTATTCTAGATAACTGTTTATCACGAACACGGAACGTTATTAAGCAATGTATTGTATAACACATTAATTCTTACGTTTCTAGGCAGATGCAGCATTCAAAGCACTCCGAATAATTTCTATAACCGGTATCGGGATCTCAATAGCATGTTTAACAGTTACCCTTATCGTTTACATTTTCTTTTGGAAGTAAGATTTAATTTTTACTAGGGGTCTAATGTATCAAAATCCAATACTAAGATCAAAATCCAAGACTAAGAAATTAATTTTCTTTTATCTTCTTATTTCTAAGTTGTTTTGATTTTTGATGTGTGGATTCATGCACGTATAACTATTGTGTAAAAGTTTTATTTATTTAGTTTGTTTAAGAAAGTTATGTACACACCTCAATAAAAAACACCATGGTTTTTATGTATCGTGAATATTCAATATAACTATAACAAGGTATTAATGAAATCAAAATGTATGTTTAACATATTCCGCTGAATATTCGTAAGTATTCTATAATATTATAACCATATGTTATAATTGTTTTGTTTCAACTCGATAAAATTATTAAGATACAGCATACATCCATGTTTTTTAAATAAAATATGTTCCTTTTCTTTTGAACCAAAGGTATCTGCGGAATGATCGCACCACTGCCCCTTGATAAATTTGTGTGTTAGCCCTTTTACTTTCCTACATTCTATTTTTGGCGGGAGTCGACAGGACAGAAAGTAGTGTAAGAAGTTATTAATCGTGACTTTTAAATACGATATCTATTTGAATAAACCTTTATCCATATATTATATATAATAAGATAACCAGATTCTCAATATTAATTTATTTATTAAAGGCACATTAATGATAGCAAAGATCTTAAGGGGAAAATGTTCATTGAACATAGTCACCAAGAACATAGTCACCAATATTAGGTTTATATATTTTTAGCTCTGCTTTAGGGAAATATTTGAATTAATTCTTTTAAGGCATGCACATTAGTCATGCTTTAAAGCTTAAAACTTAGCTTCAACTGAGAAGATATTGTATTTCCTTGTACGATCACAACTTTCCTAAAATTTACCAATGTATTAATTTATATAATATGTTCTTGCATACGTACGATTAAACTGTAAATTATCTAATGTAACTTAGATATCTGTATATGTTTTCAGCGTTTGACATTTCTACATATCAAGTAATAAATGTATTGTTTCGTTTATGTGATAATGACTTATGTTTTATATCAATTATATAAAAATTGAATGTTGTTTTTGCATGTACATACTGCTTTTTGAAATTTTGCATGATTATTTATTTTATAATAGACGCGAAACGACTTCATAGTTATTGTCAGATCAATTTGTAGAAATTTGCATATTTATTTCTTTATATATAAATCTGTAAAGCAAAACGTCTCCATATTTATTTTAGTTGTTTTTTTGTTATTAAAAATGAAATGAAAAATGTGCTTACTTGTTGTTAAGAGAGTGTGCAAATGAAGTGAATTAACTAAATATCCACAAAATGACTTTAAGCAGGTAAAATTGCAAACATAACCCATACACTTGTAGTAAGGGGATAAAATGTATGCTAATAAGAATATGAATGCAAGGTGTGTTTTGAATTATGGATATTTCATTTAAATGTGCTTTGATTTTTTTTATTAATTTGTAAAATTATCTTGAGGCGTGTAACTGTATTCAAACATTTTGATGTCAGTGTTATATACATATATGTTTAAATGAGGTATTTACCTGCAGGTCGCATGTGCTGTCATTGCTGCTGTGTTACAGTATATATATTTGGTTGTGTTCTGCATTATGCTGGTGGAAGGCATTGAAATAGCTATCACTGTACTATATGTGTTCAAAACAAAGTCAAGAATACGAATCATGCTTATATTTGCTTGGGGTAAATCCGAATTTAAATTCTGATTTTAATTTAATTTTTGTTGAGGTTTTACAATATTATGTAATAATTTTAAATAATGAAATTCAACTAAAGACAAAATAAGTAAGAACTTTGTATTATTTTACTTTATTTCTCATCAATGAATCTGATGATGGTAGTGAGCCATTTCCTTTTGTTTTTCAATTCTTTCGAGTGTTCTACCATATTGATATCGAAAAATTCAAGATATTTCTTAAAATAAATGTCCGTAAATGTCTGTAATTAAACCGTAGATCGATCGTAGCTTTAATAGTCAATGTAGATGGTCTCACATCTGAATAAAGAAACAATTGAAACATTCTTTATCGAAAAATATCTCGTCAGGGGTCATTATACATTATACTATTATAACATTTCTTTTTCAACACTTAACAATACCATTGTATAATCAGCAACAAAATGTCATTGCTGCACTTTCATTGCAAATGTTTATGTTTTCTTTGATATTTACAAGCCCTATCATTATTGATTCACTTTATATCAGCTTTGTTATTCCCAACAGTAATCATTTAAAATCTGTTTAAATACTTTTGACAGGTAATATAAGTGTTTGTTTTGCACATGTTATTGTGTTTACAGTGATACCTGCCATTATTGTGGTAATTTCTCTCGGTGCTACACAAGCTGAAGGCTATGGCAACGACAATTTGTAAGAAACTACTTTTATTTAAAACAATTAAAAACAAGACTTGTAATTTCTTGATAAATACTTTAAAATCAATTTTGTTTATATCTCATGCAATTTATAAAAGTTTGATGTGAATAAACATAGTATTGTTATCAGATAATAATTATTAGATTTTGGTTGATTTTAATATCTTTGCAACGCATTATTTATTTATTTTAGTTGCTGGTTGTCAGTTGAAAATGGCTTGATTTGGTCCTTTGTTGGGCCTGCATTATGTATAATTACTGTAAGTATGATCAAGAGTTCAATGTGTATGCGTTGTTAAATAACATTATAACGTGCCTTTAACTGGTCAATCTTGACGTTACAGGTTAGAAACGTTGATAGCTAGAATTTGAGATGGAGTCTATTTGGTGTGGAGATTGGTTAAGACAAGAAGATTATCCCTATTTATTTATTCGCTCAATAGGTCAAAGTTCAGACACTATGGCCTTGACTACTGATAGCTTGTCCGAATTATAAAAAGAAAACGCTTTTTCCAACAGTATTTTGAATCGGTATGGTGGTTAGCATAACAAGGAAATTACCACTTTTGATTTTTAAGTATGACAAAGGTCAAGTTAACAGTTGTTGTTAACATCACATTCAAAAGCTTTTGTTTGTATGTTGGTTATGGCTTTGAAATAGACACTATTTAATTTGAGGTTAATAATGACTTATTATTACACATCTTAACAGTTATGGTCACGGTTGCATATAAGCTATGACTAGAGATAAGTGTGGAAGATGATCTTGAATAGTATATAATCCTTTTTGATTTAAATGTCATAGGGTCAAAGGCTAAGTTCACTATGACAAGATTTGTAAATTACCCGTTCTTTTGATAACTTGAGTAGGAATAATGCTAAGTTTTATGAACCTAGTAATGTGCACATTTCTCTTATTAATTGCTATAAGTTCATTTACATTGCCAAAGACATGAAGGGGACACCTTTTGACTTTGGGATCATTAGGTCAAGTTAACTGTTACACATGAAATACGTTTTTAATCAATACGTGAAATCATAGGATTGCGAAACCATTTGACTTTTATAAAATATGCAAAGGAGTATTCAAATAATTCACTTAGAGAGCCAATGAAGTAGGGACATAAGTGTCCTATGGACAAATTTCACAATGTCCTAAATAAGTCATTTTGTGTGAAAATGCAGCATCCTTTTTGCCAAATGTTTTCAAATAACTAGAAGTGAGGCAAGTCATGTTTCAGTGCATTTCATTTCAAATAAATCAAAGCGGCTTTCATTTTTATTTCAGTTCAATGGAATTTGCTTAATTATTGTGATTCGCAAAATGTTCAAAACAAAAGCAATGGAGACGAAGACAGCTTCGGAAAAAATAAAGTAAATATTACTCACAACTGCAACAAATTATATTTTGAATGGAAATGTATATTTCACAAAAACATAAAGATCGAAAATGTTGAGTATCAGTTTAATTATATGAACAATTAATAACTTTCATTTGTGTCCTTCTCGTAAAAAATGTATGCATTTTCATGTCGAAGGGGGTCACATGTTGTGTTCAGATTATCATCTTTTTCACACCTAAATCAATATATGTTAGTATAATTACAGGTAAATAAAACAAGTTTACATAAAAGTGGTTGTTTAGTTCATGTGTTTCAAATGAGTAAACTAAGTTTCTTATAAGTAAGATTATTACTTCATATCAGTCTCTACAATGAACAGATAATAATACCGATACCATCTTGTCTGATAAAAATCTTATGTATTATTTATGCAGAACAAGCTTCCGGTCATTGTGTGTGTTACTTCCTGTTATGGGGGTGTCCTGGATTCTAGGAATATTCTACGTGCATGATAGCTTTTACTTCATTCAGTATATTTTTGCAATACTAAATGGACTTCAGGTAGGTTAATATGTGGTGATAGAGAAATGCGTCTTTTCCCTATTTTATTGCTACTTGGCCATTTAGCAAAAAATATAAACTTCATAAAAATATATGTGAAATGATATAATACGTTCATATCTAATCATGACTACCAGATACATTTGTAAAGTACAAACATGAAGTTGTAAATTTACTCTCTGAACATTAATTTGCAGTTACGCTTTTCTCCAGTTTTTTTTCTAGTAGGCATAATCAATTCGTGTCCAATACATGGTTTTAAATGTATTTAAAATTTACACTTATTTATTTCTAAGATTTGCTTTTAGGAGTATTGTTAAAAAACAATAATGTTATGTAAAAAGGAAAAAATAAGTAACTAAATATATTGCATATGTTTTACAGTTGAATTTTAAAAGTGTCTGGTTAGCTGTTTAAAATATTTTATTTCAGAAAAGAATGTTATCTTATATTAAATATTAAATATATTCTAAATCGTTATTCTTTCTTTTTCAGGGATTTTTTATATTTTTATTTCATTGCATCCTAAATGAACAGGTAGGTAATTGCATTCGTTAACCATAAATTAAACAAATTTAGGATCATTATAAAATATAATGTTTAATAGAATTACTAAACAAGGATATGGTATTGGCTTATCAGCATATCATTTTATAAACCTCAGGAGAAGACAACAATGTTCAATGGTGAAAGTTATTCAAATTTTTTTTTTAGGTAAAGACGGCTATTCAGCTTAGAAATAGACGGAGATCATCGGTTAAAGAAATGTTGAAAAGCATGTTGGTAAGCGTAAAATATTTACAACAATGTATTATATTTATAACAATGTCGTATATATACAAACTTAATTTTACACTTAATTATTTTTTCTTCAAGACATTTGGAGGTTATATCGAATTTTTGGGCGGGTTGCACTGGTGCAAACCCGGGTTATAGTATGGTGAATGTCGGGCAGCGGGCGAACAGGCAATCGGGCGGGGAAAAATGTTTCGTAACAGTTTTCTCAGCAACTACTTATCATAGCTTCTTGATATTTGGCATACAGCATTGATATATGGTTCCATACCGTGGGATTCGATTTCAGGTCTGTTGCTTATCCACTTCTGGTTAACTGACTTAGTTAAATTTTTGACATTAATGGTCAATGGTAGGAAATTTTCGTAACAGTTTTCTCAGCAACTACTTATCACAGCCTCTTGATATTTGGCATACAGAATTGTACGTGGTCTCATACCGTGGGATTCTATTTCAGGCCTGTTGCTTATCCATTTCCTGTTTACCGACTTAGTAAAATTTTCGACATTAATGGTCAATGGTAGGAAAATTTTCGTAACAGTTTTCTCAGCAACTACTGATCACAGCCTCTTGATATTTGGCATACAACATTGATACGTGGTCCCATACCGTGGAATTCTATTTCAGGTTTGTTGCTTATCCACTTCTGGTTAACTGACTTAGTAAAATTTTCGACATAAATGGTAGGAAATTTTCGAAACAGTTTTCTCAACAACTACTTATTACAGCCTCTTGATATTTGGCATACAGCATTGATACGTGGCCCCATACCGTGGGATTCTATTTCAGGTCTGTTGCTTATCCACTTCCTGTTTACCGACTTAGTTAAATTTTCGACATTAATGGTCAATGTTAGGAAATTTTCGTGACAGTTTTCTCAGCAACTTCTTATCACAGCCTCTTGATATTTGGCATACAGCATTGATACGTAGACCCATACCCGTGGGATTTGATTTCAGGTCTGTTGCTTATCCACTTCCTGTTTACCGACTTAGTAAAATTTTCGACATTAATGGTCAATGGTAGGAAATTTTCGTAACAGTTTTCTCAGCAACACCTTATCACAGCCTCTTGATATTTGGCATACATCATTGATACCTTGTCCCATATCCTGGAATTTGATTTCAGGTCTATTGCTTATCCACTTCCTGTTTACCGACTTAGTTAAATTTTCGACATTAATGGTCAATGGTAGGAAATTTTCGTAACAGTTGTCTCAGCAACTACATATCACAGCCTTTTGATATTTGGCATACAGCATTGACACATGATCCCATACCGTGGGATTCTATTTCAGGTCTATTGCTTATCCACATCCTTTTTACCGACTTTAAGTTAAACTTTCGACATTGATGATCAGTGGCAAATTTTTTCAGCATCATGATATTTGTTATGCAAATGCAACCCGGCCTTTTCTGTTTTTGACCCATTTAAAAAAGATAAAAATAATGTCCTCTTAAAGTCCTTGGATATATAAATATTAGCAAAAAGAATATTATATTATTATACATATGTTTTATTATATGATCTATAGAAAGCTTTGAAATGCTATTATCTGATTGGCTAAAAATAATTTTATGTAGTAAATAACAGGTAAATTTCAGTTTATTTCATAAGTAGATTTGAAATGTATTTCACTGATTAGCGAAGAAGTTACTTTTTGTGAAACAGAACATATTAATATCAGAGTATATTTACTGTTCTTTCCTAATAATAGATTTTCAGAGAATTTTCACCGTTTGTTTGTTTCTCGCAAATGAAAGTCAATTAGTCTACTTTAGTTGCCGTCTTTATTTTTTCTTAGGAAATTTTGAATTTAGCGTTACCATGCGCTTTTTTAAAGATAAGGGCCAAATATTTGAAAAAGTTTACAAGCTGAAGAAATGTCGGCTTCCGTCGTATTCAATTCCAGATTTGATATGCCGTATAAAAACTATAATAGCACAGATATGTTCGTTTGGATATGATATGATATCAGACAACTGAAAAGCCGATCTTTGTATACATAATGTAATAGGTTATTGTTTACAGGAGATGGTTGCTTTTAAGTCCATCAATTTTGTTTATTTTTCAGAGGAGTACTTCGATAGATGAAAGGAAGTCAAAAGACTTTTTAGGTAAACAGTGTGACGTCTCATTTTAATGTTTTGAATTTCTTAGATCCAACACAGGCTAACTTTCGTAAACCGAAAATGGTTTATTATACATTTCAAGGTGATTCACGTTCCAAGGAGATAGAAAATAACAGTTCATGTTATTGCATAACATACTTGTTGTCTTAATCTTACATCATCTCAAAAATTGGTCGTGTAAACATTGCAGTTGTTCCGTTGTAAATCGTTTGAACACCGTATCTGTTTGGATGTTTTTGTTGTTGTAGATAAATCTAGTGCATTTAAGAAACACTATTATATTCTAATTTTTGTTTATCCAGAACCGAGGAAATCATTTATTGATAGTGGCAATTTTACTACTCAAAACGACAGTGATGGTTGGAAGGATAAGGTTTGTTATTATTAGATTTATTGTTGTCAATGTTTTGCACCTTTTGTTTTGTTCAAATAAAATTGCCAGACTATTATATCATGTTTAGCCTGTATTTCATTTCACATTGATGGGGCTCTGATTGGTTTCACATTTTATTTTCGTCTATTTTTAATATTTTCTATGTCTTGTTATGTTTCCGATTATTTTGCATTTTTTCCACACTAAATGTCGTTTGTTTATCTTCACTTAATATCGTTTGTTTATTTTAAACATTTTCTTCCTACTTTAGATGATAAATACTCGATACCCGTCGCCGGATGTAAAGTTTGCAACGCCGCTGGGATTTTATGGAAATGGTAGGCGAGCAGCTACATTTTCTGTTGAATCACGTGACAAATTAACTAGCTTTGTTTCAAAACCAGTGTCAACGCCTTACAGAAATCCAGTGGTCACTTAGAAGCTAATCTATTTTCTGCAAGACTGTGTAGATGTAAACCACTATGAAAAAAGTTTAGTGTTTTAACATGTGTATCTGCTTTGATGTTGCTTTTTTATCTATATAACATAACCGTTTAAAGCATTGTCAATATCCTTGTTGTTGCTTTGTACATTTTTAGTATATATTATTTGAATTGTGCGAGTATTAATGTTTTCCTCAATTTTTATAAAGAGTCTAAAATTACTGTGCTGTATAAAGTGGCCCATTACCAAATTACCACCAATTAGTCTTATAGAAAGCTCTGTTCATAGCCAAGGCATCGGCATCAAAGTGTCTGGTAAAAGGTTTTGTGTGATTATATAAAATATCATTTATTTTACTCTTTACAAGATGTAAACGATTCATTTTTATCAAACTTTATAAAGTTTTCAATTTAAAATTATTAATTCTTCCATTTCCAGTTACACAACATGTCTTTAATAATCCTCTTCCACGTAGCGGTAAGGGGATTATAGGAATAGCCTCCGTCTGTCAGTTCGTCCGTCCTTCTGTCAGTATGTCTGTCCGTAACACTTTTGTCTCCGCTCAACAACGTTTGAAATGATTTCCATTTTAAGACGATGTGCAGAACGCAATATTTAGGTTGATAAACCCAAGGTCAAAATCACACTTACAGTTCAAGTGTTAAAAAGTCTAAATCTCAAGTCCGCTCCATAAATATTGAACTGGTAAAAAATCTTTTGAAACAACTTGGCACAAGTGATCACTTAATGGTTGAAAAGGGTAGACATTTTAATATTGATAGAGGACATCGTGATTGTATGTATTGTGAATCAATGTTAGAGGACGGATATCACTTTCTTATCGTGTGTTCTTTATATGCAACTTTACGTTATTACTATATACCATTGTATTTTTATCAATATCCGAATATTGAAAAGTTCTACTCTTTGATAGTAACTAAAGACGAGTCATTGATATGTAATGTTGCTATGTATATTCATTATGCAAAGAAAGAGATAATTTCCTTAAATGCGTTGAATAATTTATATTCAAATTTTACTTTATAATTGTATTAGAAATTTGACGATTACTATATCTCCAGCAATGCTTATTTGTATTGTATATTGTATACACTGCGTACGGAGGCCTTTTGTACAATAAAGCTATTGAATTATATTGAATTGATCACCATTATGAGAGCAATAATTGGGTTGCTACCCTCAAGGTCAAAGTCATTCTAAAAGGTCAAGTATTAAAGAGTCTATATTTCGTGTCCACTCCAAACACGCTGCACTATTTTTAAGATGACTTTGTTTCCAGATTTTGGTAGAAACCATCACCATTATTATCACCAAAATCCAGGTTGCTACCCACAAGGTCAATGTAAAATGTTCTCTGTAATGTTTTGACTTCATGGAAGATTTCATAAAATTTGGCACAAATAATTACTATCAAGGTCATGATTTGTTAAAGCTCAAGAAGTACGCATTCATGTCCGCTGCGGAAGGGGTTTGAGCTGTCCTTCAAACTGCCTTGTTTCACCTTGTTATTAATATGGCGATTTAGAAAAAATAAATGTTTTGTGTAAATCATATACATTTCTCCTCAATAAGAAACGTAAGCGAATTCTATATATTATGATATATGTGATGTTTTGTGGCTGCGTGCATTTACGTGTAATCGTATTAGAATGATCATGAAATGACGTCATCGGTATTATGTTGTTGCACTCATTCATTTTTCAGATACTTTATGTTTCCTGTTGGTATTTGTTTCTGATTAATATGGTTATAAAATGTATTCTTATTTCTTGTTACCTACTAACACAATCTCAATATACGCTTCTTTGTTTCATGACAATTTACTACTTGTAATTCTTAATGTGCCAATACTTTGTCCATATTCATTTATACTTTTTTCAATCATTTATAAACCATGATGTATTACACAATAAAGAATCAGATAAATATTTTCTTTACTGTATCTTTTTGGGTCACTTTTATTCTTTTTTGTATTGCGGACTTTATTGTTGTAAGAAACACAAATATTTCAACTTTTTAAAATTTAACTAGGGTGGGTTTTGATCGTTTAAATTAAACATTATGATTGAAAATACTCGAACAAATAGGAAAAGCTTTTACCCTTTCAAGAGGCTTCAAAAAGGGAGGAAACTAGTATAACCCAATGAACATTATAATAAGACATGAGTATCTCCCCTCTAATAAAAAGCATTATTAAAATACAATTTTTCGCATAATGCCAATTATTAAGATAGGAAAGATATATAACAACCCAAGTTTTTAGATTAAAAACTATTTACTATGGTTTTGGCAGAATTTTGTCCAATGGCTGGATATGTATTCCGGATAATCGGAAATACATATAGTATAATGATTACAATATGACTAAAAGCCCATATGGCTGATTACACTCCGGACAATCGGAAGTGAATTTTACTAAAGCCCATATGGCTGATTACACTCCGGACAGTCGGAAGTGAATTTTTATATTTTGAAAAAGAGACAACGTGCTGGCAAATGCCAAGACACGAGTAAATCAAGATGCACGAGTGTCCCGCCATAAAGAAACTTATGCAAAGCGGAAACAGGACGTTGTCAAATAAAAACCATGGACAAAATCTTGTAAAAATATTAGCAGAGTATACTATTGGAAGATGTGGCAAAGGAAAAATTGCACCCTGTAATGTGTTGAGCATAATTTCAACACCTAGGTCTGTCAGGTGGGTACTATCCCTAAATAATTCTGGGGAAGACTCTTTTATTTGGGGATATTGTAGATAACCACCTCCATGTTTAATAAAAAATCCCCCTATTGAACTATTTATTCTTTTCCTTGCCTTTTCAAGCTTTGAATGATTAAATTCGTTACGAAATGCAATGCGAGGGATAATTCCCGACCAAATAAACAAAATATTTGGATAAGTGGTAAACAATTCTTTCATAAGATATTTTAAATAATTAACGATATAAGATAAGCTGTTTTGACCAATGTCATTTCCACCACAATGAATTATAACCATATGTGGCAAAGGTTTAGTTAAAATTAAATTATGTAACCTTGAAAAAAAGTGATCAAGTTTCATGCCTGGCTGAAAATCCCACAGGATTGAGCCATTGATGTGCTCCAAGCCAAGATTAACACCATCTGGTCTGAGTTGAGATCTTTGCGAAGCATCTCGGATCATTGATGATCCAATCACCCATACTTGAAAAGGATCTAAAAATAATCTTAAATTTCTTTTAATGAATTAACTATATGTAAAGATCTGGAATATTCAAGCGAATATAACTTTTATATGCATTTGATTTCCAGCGACCCAATATTTTGATTTCCTCATCAGTTTTTCCTATAGAATGTAAGTAAGTTGCTCCACCTATTCGAAAACTATGGGATTTATAAAATGTGGTACCAACACCAGAAAAAAGTAGAACTTTTTTCAGGATATTGTTGAACTGATATGATGTAACTGGTGAACCATCAAAGTGGCATAAGAAAAGCCCATCAATTTTTGGTCTAGAAGATAAATAATCTTGCAAGGCATCATAGAGAAATTTGTTTCTATAAGTGATTGGAATAAAAATTTCAGCACCTTCGCCAATTTGGTCATTTTTTGAACCATGCAAGAACAGCCTTATAGTAGTTGCTGTGATTTGGATATCTTTAAATTTTAAAGCTTTACATAAATCGGTTTTGTTTGATAATGTTAATTCACTGACTCTTAAAAGAGCACTGAATGCTAAAGTATAAGCAACAGAAAAAAGGCAAGCTTCGTATTGTGATGAACAGACATGTTTCAAATTTGGAAGTAATTTGTGCAACAAGTTAATTGTGATTGGTAATCTGTTATCTTTATGGAATTGAATTCTATTTAAACCAGATAGCATTTGTTTTACAATGAAAGACTGTGTTACGTCAAGATAACCATTTATCTTATTATAGTAACTTACAGCTGCAAGGTGACAATTTACTGTTTTAGAAGCATAATTATTTAGTGACATATAGGCAATGTATTCAACAACATGCCATAACGGTGGGGCCAACATCTTCCATAATGCATGTTAATACGAAAAGTGTCAAATGCGTTTCTTCCGCTATTATAAGTTTTATGGGTGTTTTCAGACAAAGATGCATGAATTAACCTGCCTATTTCTGGTTGAAGAGTTGAAGGAAGGATTCTGGGATTGGTGATGGGGTTCTTGAGGCTCCTTCTGGGAGTAAATTCCATAGAGTTGACCACTGAAATCGACTAATAGCATCAGAAATTTGATTTTTCTTTCCAGATATATGTCTGGCCTTAATTTGTACATTATTTAGTAAAAGAGCTAACATTAAATGACGAATGAGATACATAACTCTAGAGTTGCGGGAAGATTTTTTATTGATGATGTCAACGACAGAAAGATTATCTGATCTTAAAATAACTTTTTTTCCTTTCAATTTGGAATCCCAAGTTAAAAATGCTAGTAAGATAGGGACAACTTCTAAAAAAGTGATGTCCCTCATGGTTTCATTATTCCAAAAATCTGGCCATTTGAAATAAACCCAGCTACCCTGGAAATATGCCCCACATCCTAATTCTTTTGAACCTGCAGCATCAGTAAATAATTCAAGCTGATTGTCAGGTGTCCATAGAAGGTCACTAAAAATGGTTTGACCATTAAAATTATATAAAAAAAGCAACCAAATTCTAATATCTTCTTTCATGCCTAAAGAAAGTCTTACTAAATGGTATGGTTTCTTAACTTGAGACATGGCTGCATAAAAGCGGCAATTAAATGCCCTTCCAGATGGAATAGCTTTTGAGAAAAAATTAAGAAGACCTACCATTGATTGTAATTTCTTCAAAGTTATTTTTTTGGAACATAAAGCTTCTTCTAACATGGATTTAGCTTTTTCAATTTTATCTGATGGTACTTTAATGGTGCCCTCAGCAGTGTCAATTTCGAAACCCAAGTATTCCATTTTCGTGGTTGGGCCTTCTGTTTTTTCATCATTAACAGGAATTCCCATATCATAACAAATACTATCAAAAGCATCTAAAAGCATTTGACATTGATTTCTATTTTTAGCAGCAAAGAAAAAAATCATCTAGAAAGTGATCAATATTATTAGAGTTTGCCTTTTTTGAAACACAAAATTGTATAAATGTTGCAAATTTTTCAAAAATTGCACAAGATATAGATGCTCCTTGTGGCAACATTTTTTGAATCCAGTATGTGTCATCAAAAAAGATACCTAATAAATCAAAGTCACCAGGGTAGACTGGACATAAATTAAAAGCAGATTTAACATCTTTTTTAGCAATGAGGGAAGAAATACCTAAACTTTGTATAATTTCAATGGCATTATCAAATTTTGAATATTGTACAGAGCATACATCCGGATCAATAAAATCATTAACAGAAAAACCGTTAGGATGAGAAAGATTTGAAATAAGACGCCAGCCACCTGATTTTTTGGGCACAAGTCCCACTGGGTTTATCCTAAGGTTAGGTAATGGCTTTTTATTAAATGGGCCTAAGATACGACCAAGTTGTTTTTCTTTTAAAAGTTTATCCCTTAAAACTTCTGGATAATAGGAAACAGATTTTAAATTTTTTGAATTTATAGGAAGTCTTGGACCAGAATACTGGAGCTTGAAACCAAAAGTAAAACCATCAAGTAAATATTTTGCATCTGATTGATTATCATAGCCTTCTAGGTGAAATTTTAATAAATCATTGTTTACTGGTGTTTGGCCTAAAGCCCACAGTTCTCTGTGGAGCAACGAATCTTCTTGGACTGGCTTGTCCTTCCCTGAAATTTCCAGAAACTGATTTTATACAATTAATGGATGGATGAGATTCTTTACATTTCAAACATCTATGTCGGTAGGGGCATTTAAATTTTGGGCAAAAACCTTTATAATAATTGTTAAATTCAAAGCAAGGCTTCAAAGTTACTGGCTGAATAGTTTGATTGACTGGTGCTGTCAAACACAGCATCCATAATTCAATGTCAATAACTGCCCAACTTGAAGAAGGATGTTTCGACTTACGGAGCCTGAATTGCTCATCATATATTAACCACCCAGACTTATGTCTCTTAGATGCCATACGAATTGTGTGCATATAATGCAAAAGTTGCTTAGCTTGGTCCGGGTGACGGTTTGTGTAAATGTACATAAAAGTTAAAAAACAGTCTGTCCACTGTTCTATTGAAACAACTTGTTGTTGGTTAGATTTTTTTGGAAGAACTGAAATCTTATCGTTACTAAATGAAATATGTAGTTCTTGATCTTTTTTTGAGCTACTTGAAAGAAGTTGAGAAAGTTCAAAAAATTCTCCATTATAAATTTTCTGTTTTAAATTTTCTGAAACATGGAGAGAAATATCAGAAGAAACAGAATTAAAGTTACCGTATGTGTGTGGTTCAAATAATGGCTGAGGTTCCAAGGGTGGCTGAGGTTGCAGTTGTTGCTCCATAGGTAGTTGAGACTGCAGTTGTTCCGGAGGTTGCTGAATGCGTAGATGTGACTGTGGTTGCAGGGCACCAGGAAACTGCATCATGTATTGTGCCTGAGCTCCTGATGAAGGATACAATGTACTTGTAGGAATAAATTGTTGTTGCTGGTGTAGAATTTGCTGTGGCATGGTCGAAACCGATGGTTGATTTAATGAAACTGGCATTTGATTCATGTGTTGTGGTACAGCTTGAGGGTACGTGGGGGTATCTTGTGCTTGTTGTAAGCTGACCATGTCATGTAAGTTTGCCCTGTGCTGTGGTTCTGGTTGGGAAGGTGAAACATGCCTAGGGTGAGATTGTGAACGGGTCTGGTTTCTCATATGATCAACCTGTTGCCTAAGATTTCCACGACGACGTGAGGCACCTCTTCCACGTGGCATATTGGCAGTTATGAAATCAAAATAAATGTTATGATAACTACAAGTTCAATAAATGTTATAAAAACCTCCATTTAATGTGCGCAACGCATAACACATTATAAATCTGAATAGAAGCCCATTTGGCATACAATATTATTAATGGACCTCATTAATGGAGTCAAAATTAAATACATATTAATTTACTTTAAAGTAACTATATTAATCATACAGAATTTATTGATTATTATAATTGATGCCCATTTGGCATAAAACATTTTTGTTTTGTGATTTTAAATATATCTTGAAATAGAATTATACTGTTTACTCCAAATTTATAGATTCATACAAATAATATATTTAGATCTATATATATAAATATCTATATATAAATAAAATGATAAAAACCCCATTTGGGATTTATAACAAATTTTGACTGCACGCACATTATTAAAAAGGCCCATTTGGCACAAATTATTATTATTATTTTGCACGCCCATATGGCGAATGGTAAGTCAAACATAAGAACATATATTTATAATTCCGGAAATCGAAAATATCATGCAAATATATGCATACAAAAACCCATTTGGCATACTGAACAGGCCCATTTGGCACAAACATTTTTTGACTGCGCGCCCATATGGCGTATTGGTAAGTCAAACATTAGGGCTTATATTTATAACTCTGGAAATCGAAAGTATCATGCAAATATAATGTATAACAAAAGCCCATTTGGCATAATATAAAAGGCCCATTTGGCACAAAAATTTTTTTTTTTTTTTTTTTTTTTTTTTTTTTTTTTTTTGACTGCGCGCCCATATGGCGTATTGGCTAGTCAAACATTAGTGCATATATTTATAACTCCGGAAGTCGGAAGTATCATACAAATATATGCATACAAAAGCCCATGTGGCATAATATAAAGGCCCATTGGCACAAAAAAAAATTTTTTGACTGCGCGCCCATATGGCGTATTGGCAAGTCAAACATTAGTGCATATATTTATAACTCCGGAAATCGGAATTATCATACAAATATATGCAACAAAAATTAAATAAATAATAATAAAAACATGCAATTTATAATTTATACTAACATTCGGTGTTAAATATAAGTCATATCAATTATTTAAAGTCATATCCGCGGATATGACTCATATCCGGTATTAAGACATATCGTCTTCAGTGCATCAACTACATGCAATTTCATTTAGGCCTATCCCATATTCAGGTGTGCGAATTGCATAATTAATCATTCCATGATAAATTTAATTTTCCTGTGCATTACCCTTCTATCGGCTAAAGCATATTGGTGTTATATTACGATCTTTTTTTTTTTTTTTTTTTTTTTTTTGGCAGCCATTTTTTTTTCCATTTTGGAACATGTGCTCTAACGATGAAAAATAAAAATTAAATTTTCAGCATTTTCACATGCAAATAAACTATTTCAATAGCATGTCAATATGAATAGTATATTCGTATAACATAATAACACAAACTTACAATATTTTGATCGTTTAAATTAAACATTATGATTGAAAATACTCGAACAAATAGGAAAAGCTTTTACCCTTTCAAGAGGCTTCAAAAAGGGAGGAAACTAGTATAACCCAATGAACATTATAATAAGACATGAGTATCTCCCCTCTTATAAAAAGCATTATTAAAATACAAGATTTCGCATAATGCCAATTGTAGCGGATAATTTCAAGCTTTATTGATAGCCGAAGAGTTGATCTTACTTAATCTACAAAGGTGCGACAACTGATTCTGAACACGCGGCAGTAGTCATCTGCTAGTATAATGTATGTAGCTCTTTAAACAGTTTGACAAAATACGTCACATTTTATGAAGAATTATGTATGGCAAATTAATTTAAAGAATATGTTGCTTATGATTCCAACAAACTTTCAAAAGACAGAAGAGTTTGGGTTGTATTCCTGTCCATGCTTTTTCCTAATGTTATAAGATAAAGTTACTCACATGTGTAGATAACTCCTCAGCAGGGCCTATTCTAACCCACAAAGTTCAATAACTTCTGCAGCAATTTAATGTTCTGCTCAGTATTGTGGGTTCATCCTTCACTTTCTTGTACTGACATGTCATCCTGCTGTATGTCCATGGCTGCCTAAATCAAATGTAATTAATCATTTTCTAAAACTCATCTGTATCTTTGTCTATTTTAATTTCCAATTCCATATTGTTTTCTTGTGACATTATGCAGAAGAAACTCATAATTCTGATTTTGAAGCATACAACTGATTAGGACAGAAAGTTTTTGTTTTTTTATTAAAAAATGTTTCTTTAGATTATCAAATAGTTATACAATCGATTTCGTTCTTTCTTATTGTATATCATTTAGTTGATATGAATATAGAAGAAAGTAGTCCGGCAAGACACCAGTCAAAATACGGAAAATATGCTTTAGTGCAGTGGAAAAAAAAATTTACAGTGAAAGTACGGAATAAAAATACGCATTTTATTTCATTTCCTAATATTTCCTATATAAGTATATAATAAAATAGAGTGAATTTCTAAAGATGAAGATATAAAAGTCGTTCTTATAATTAATTTTGTTAATTGGTATAAATTCAGTAATATATTTGCTTCCTTTATCAGGAAATGGTTTCAATTCAAGCCATTTAAGATAATCCTTAAAGCCTGTCACGCCATACGTTAAATAGTTTAAATAACATTGTTACGAGCTAAACACAACAGTGAAGATAACGCAGCAACTAATTTTACAAGTTTTAATTAAAGAAAAAAAACCAGTTATTTACGAAAATACAAAAAAAATATGAAAGTAAAATTTAACTCACAATTATGAACGATTCAAATTGAACAAATGTCCTGAAGTTTAACTCATAGTTCATATTCAATTGCCCACAACTCAAATGAACTAGAATACTGAATTACTAAGAGAAAGAATATCCCAGAATGAAAATGAAAAGAACTCTCTGTTGAACATGAAAAATTATGTAAACATCAAATAAACAACAAAATTATTAATAATGCTAGTGAAATGAGTAGGTATCGAACCCACGAAATCAAGATTATTAGTCCTGCGCTCTACCTACTGAGCTATTCAGGAAATAGATACTAAACACATTTAAGATAAAGACTTAATATACTAACAACATACAGTCTCAAATTTCAAGCGGTTAAAGCGTCATAAATAACCAGAACTCCCAACTTCTGCAATATAGCACAAAATAGTAATATTTAATAAAAGGTGTGTTGATTTGACCCTGAGAAAGAACATTCGTCAATCATATATTGTGAATTTAGAGTCATGTCGATAAAATGATCGTGCCGATTTTCTCATCTATGTTATTTTGATTTAACCGGTCATTGAGGTTTATTCAGCTAACTTACGTGGGGAATTATTGCACATGACTTAACATTTGATTTAAGTATTGATGAATATTGAAACATTTAAAGCTGCTGAGATAAAACGCTTAGGTTAATAATGCCTTCATCAGACACTGATTTTAGTTGATCTATCACAGGCAACATTTTAATAGATAAAAGCAAAATAAAGCAGCAAGACAAGTTGCAAGGGATTTCAGATGTCTGCCGAGAAATTTCAGATGCTGGATAATTATGACATGCTACTATAAAATAACAATGACCATACACGACCAATGACTACCAATAATTATTTATTGCAAATGTAAGCTTGAGCCATCTAACAAGTTTACTGAAATAAAAATCTGTTGCATTAAAAATAGCGAATGAAAAGTACTAGCTCTTTATTGAACAAGTGTAAAAAGTAGCCCAGAACTAAGATCATGTACACCATTCAAGTTATCTCTTTGTGGTTTTTTTTTTTGTTTTTCTTCATTAAGAAAATCTTAAAATTTTAAAGCCAGCACAGTTACAATTCATGATTTAATCTTGACTGTCCGACGGTAAACAAATAAATCAGAAAGCGTGACGCATTGTATACGCCATTTTAATATCAATAAAAGTGAAGAGGATAAAATGATTTTTAATGAAGTAAAAATGAAACCGAAAAAAATATCTTGTTTCAGTTTTTTTATGCACAGGGAACGTTAACTACACTCGTAGCAACATATTCCTTATTTTACAAGTCACAAATTACCTACTATGTGTTTGCCTAGCCTAAATATACATGTATAATAAAAATGGACATGTCGCCTATGTATTAGAAATTACACATGTATAACTTATATCTCCAGTGCTTGAGGATTTAATATATAGAAACTACCGGGATATTGAATGTGACTTAAAGGCACATGTGCCTGGGTGCTTTTGTTTCTTATTCTAAATATTTGTATATGGTTAGTTTATTATATATAAAACACTCACTCACTCACTCACTCACTCACTCACTCACTCACTCACTCTCTTTCACGATGAAAATTAAGACTTGGATGAGTAAATCACACTAATTAGTGATAGTTTAAAGGGTTCGAAACATGTTTAATATTTCAAAAAGATATGCACGCCACTAGATTGTATGTTGTAAGAACACGTGCTGTAAAAGATATTTCAGTTTCAAAAACTTAATGAATACGCTTCTGTGTGATTATTACAAATTTCTATTTTCAAATTCTGCATTTAAATATTTTTTTTTGTTTAATGAAAAACTACAATTACCAATGTTTTTGTTATCATTACTATTTTTAAAATAACAACGAAATAAATTAATTCGCAATTTTAATATTCCCTATATATATATAAAATATGGATTTATATAATACATAAATATTAAATGAAGACTTAACTTGAAAGTTCATTGAACGGCTTAATTATGGCAAAAATAGAGTACATGATTAAATGTCAGAGTTTAGGACACGATTTATTTTCGCTAATAGTTATTCATTTTCGGCTGTTTTGTACATTTCGTTAATTGACAAATTTATTCTACTCAGTAATTGCAATGTGACACAAATGTTGTTGTACTTTAAGTACCTGTCAACAATTTCTCGAGCACTTAATTTAATGATGATAAATTAATATCAATCTATTTCCATAAAAATAGTCCGATTGTAAACAGATTGTACGTTGTTTGTGTCATTATTCGTACCAATTTTATTATCCATATATATGGTCAATATTTTAAATGGATTTCAGTTAAACTGAGCCTGCGCCTATCACATTTGTAGACTTTGTCTGCAGTCTTAGTAATGATTAAACTTCCAAAAAAGGTAACAATTGATGACTTATGAAGGGCTGGTGGGGGCGTGCGGATAAGGTTACATATTAAAGCATACTATTTTTTGTCTAGAAATAAAAACACAATTTTTGAAGTAACATTTTAAATCTAAACATTATAATGGTTTTACCGTTAGCCTGCTGGTGTCTACTGCGTGTCCCCATGCGACCGTGCCATCTGCATTTTTCATTTTTCATGAGTGAAAAGTTTCCCTACAAATGATATTTGCTTTTGTCCATATTGAAAGATGAAGAAGATATTTTGCATGATAGGGTTAAGTGTGTTGTGCTTTTTAAATAAAAGCACCTCATTTGTAAAAACCCTTGATAGTACAAAAAGTAGTAATAGTACATAACTATTTTTTGAAGGAAAAACTTTAACTTTGCATATATAAAGTATATTTGTACAACATTTTTGGTCGTATTAAATATAAGTATTTTTAAAAACATTTCTCTTAATAATTTTTTGGAAGCACTAAATGTATTTTCTCTTCATGTTAAGTTTATTGTTTCTCAAATATGTTTTCAGAATTTGTAGGATGAGTGAAAATGTGCATTCAAGGAAGTACGTCTATTACAGAAAATAAGAATAAATTCTAACGTAAAACGAAAATATTAAATTATAAAAACAATCGAAAATAAACATTGCATTAATCTATTTCTTTGGATATAATTGGAACTGATTAAAACGCAGACGGTTGTCTGGTATTTAAATGAATGGCACTATGAGCAGCTGTTTATAGATGGTAAAACGGGGGTAAAAAGGTCTTTCATTGGAGTGTATTTTAAAAACTTGATATTTATAAATGTTCTTAAAAAGTAGAGAAAGAATTGATAGGGTATTAAATACTATGTTATGATTAATACACTATCAAATAGTATATGTTAGTTATGATATACGTTTATCACTTCCAATGCACATGGTGATCATCATTATTAATTTTTAAGATGTGGAAAAAACTTTTTTGATGCACGGGAGGCCAAATGAGACCAGTATATATATGCAGTAGATATATACTGACTACATAATGTTTTTATGTTTGTATTATATGAGTTTTTTTTAACCAATTAATACAAACAACACAAACATAAACGTTTCAAATGATGAAAAACGTGGAAACAAAGCACAATTACTCGTTACACATTTTAATAAAATCGTATGTATTGAAAGCCTACACACTAATATACTTTTTGCTATGGAAGCGCGAACATTTGACTATTAAGAAATTATTGGAGTAGAAATATTCGCCCTAAACATGAGTTCGCGAATCGAATGTCACCGCGAAGATCGCGAAAATTAGAAGCTCGCGAATATTTCTACACAAACAGTAACTTAACATTTTTCATAGCATTTATTTAAGATGTTA